ATGGCAATCCTATATTTACACATAAGAAGTAAGATATCGTAGACATTGTCTTTATGTTTATGAGCTTTCTCATTAATAATGATCTTAACCGCGAATCTCTGGTCAAAGTTACTAGTTAGCAGTCATCCCTTACAGCCATACATCTTTTATAAGATACTCTCACAAAACAAATACATCATATAGATAATGTCAGATATCTTATATTGTACTTTCAGATGTATTGATAACATCTTGTCTTTGAATAACAGGAGATTTACTGACTATGTCCTCTGTATATTCCCACCTGATTCGAAATACAGGGACTCGATAGTCTTCTCTACTTTTGGTGTTTACATGTCGCACTTGATTCGATATCAAAGGGTTTGTTCCCGATTACTCGATTTTAGTGCAAGATGTCGGCAACTGACAACACTTCGTTTCAAGGAATGCAGACTGGTGAAGATTTTAGTGAGGTTTTACAGTCGTCATAGTAATGTCATTAAGAAATATTCCATTTCTTGAGCTATATGAAGCTGGACGTGTTTAATGCACGTTAGTTTGCCTGTTTGTTCCGTTGTAATTATACCTCGTTCTCATTTGTGTGAACGTGACATTACTTGCTTGGATTGACTAAACACTAGCTTGTCGGGTGTAGTCGTCGATGAAGCAGAAGACGCTTTTTGTTCCGGAACACATGGTCTTATTCTCTGCAGAAAATTTTGGTGTCTATATCTTTTTTTATTCATATTTCGGTTTAGTATATTGAATTTGAGTTTGGCTAACGATTATCTTGATATGTTTGTGTTTTCCTATTGTTTCTTATTCAATCTATTCAATCCTTGTCTGAGATGTAAATGTTTCATTTCAATCTTTTCACTGGGCTTTCAAAAGTAAGAAATTGGTTTATACCTTCTTATGTACTAATTATTATATATCAGCTATTGGTTAGGCATTACCAACCACTAGTCTGTCTTAACACAGTGCATTTAAGCATAGGGAGTGAGTGTAAGAAATAAAAAAAACAGTTTTTAAAACATTTTACTTAAGATGCAGATATAAAGATGAAAAAGTTCAAACTCGGAAGTTTTGCCGGATATTTTCTGTACTAGAACAGAAAAGACAGAAATGTTTTTGGTAGTGGTATCACAATTTATGGAAAAATACTTGATTTTAAAACGAAGGCAAAACTTAGAAACAGTGAATGATGAAACCGTTCGAGTAGAATTAGTTTTATATAATATAACGTATGTAATTGGTTTTATTTATAGACCTCCATGGCAAAATCGGCTTGTAAGTAACTCTGGGAGATTCCCGCGATATTTTTTGTATTGCGAACTGAAATTTGATTGGCTAGAAGATGAGGTATATTAGTTTCGTATTAATTCTTTTTATTCGCCGTATTCTGCTTTTATTCACTTCGTTGCAGTTAATTTCTTGTTGTATAATATTTCGTGGAATACTTAGTGCTAAGATTTATTCCACATATCACATCTGCTAAATTATTTACGAAACTAAAATAAATAGCGGTCCATGGAGTCCAGCGATGCCAATGTTGAAAATTCGGAAATTCCGAAGACGTTGGGTGCTGACGGTGTTTCTGATTGGTTCCTTGATATTTTTACTATCGAAAACTCTTTCAAATGTAAGTTAATTTAGTTGTCATCCATTTAGACTTACATTTGTTGATTGATAATGTGTAGTTAGAAACACAACACCGGTCAACATTTGTGAATTCCTTCTGTCACAAAGGCAGTGTTTACATTTTGTTATGACTTCAGTGAGGACATCATTCTCGCGAGTTTTATTCACTGATATGTCGAAATGCCTGTTACACTTTAACATTTAACTATTGATAATTTCTTTAAATAGCGTTGAGTACAGTCGTTTCATCGGGCATACACACTAAACACTATCTTCGGGTCCTTGGATATTGTCATATTATCAACAAACGAAAAGAAAACGTCTTTACACTTACTGTATGCTTTCACTAAGTACAAACAACCCGTTGCAAATGTGCCATCGTGTAAGCATTACATCGTAATTCCAAATTAATAAAGAAAAATAAATTCTGAATTTTACAGGTAAATCATAAATTCAGGACAACTGCTAAACCGCAAAAATTCTGTCTCTAAAATGATAATGTAACCCTGGTAAAATACTAGCCGCAATATACCACTTAGCTAGAGAGAACTTCTCTTTAGCTAGATTGGTTGAGCGTCAGACTAGTAAGCCAGGGGTCCCGGGTTCGATTCCTAGCGGAGGCATTGAGAAAAAAAATGACCTCTGTTACAATAATTTGATATCACTATTCTTATATATTGTGCTGTTATTTTCTTAGTTGATATTTACATTTCTATTGACGATGCTCATTTTAGAAATAGAACAGACCTGTTCATAAAAGTGGTAGAAACGCATCCACCATGGATGCATTTTACGAGACAAAAAATTCCAGTCTAGACAATTGCTGGATCAAAGACAATGATGTCATTCACCTGCTGGAATTATTTATGTGGGCCTAGTATCACAAAACTAAACAGAATACTTTTAAAAAAAAACATTGAGAGGTATTATGCTATTATGGATGATTACCCTAGTTAATACTTAAAAAGTATGAAAAATTCAAAATATCTTCATTCTCTTTTGCATTGGATTTATAAATGCATGCCACTGCAGTCAAGCATTGTAAACAGCTGGACAAGATCGCATAGTTGTCCAGTGAGGGAGAAGTGATCAGGGATTCAAGTCTTTGAGTAGCATTTGATAGAAAGTTGATCTCATCCGAGGACTTCAGCCCATGACTGTCTTTCAAGAGTAGTTTTGAAAAAATTATGGCAGTTAATGACATAAATACTAGTAAAATTTGATCAATATGATGGTTACAGTGTATGTTTAGTCCTAAACAGCCTTGTCAAGGAGTCGTCAACAACTCCCTGGTGTGTGAAAGTCTATTTCCTACATTAGAAAATCAAATCAGTAAGGTGACAATAAATTAATATGATAATTGTTTTTTCTATTTGGAACTGCCAGTGTGCCTGCTTCCTGCATGCTGTTTAAGGTCTTGCTGAGGAAATGGTGCAAAATGTGATATATACATGACATGTTGATAATATGAAACCAACATGACAGTTGACCGTAGACTTTGTAAAGTTTCTCTGTAAAAACCAGTGATAATGCTTGATAAGTTGGCTTCTTAAACTTGCATTATGTTGTTTGATTGCACAATATATTGTAAAGCATCTTAGAATTAATCTCATGGATCATTCTTGTATAGGAGTTCAATGTTTGAAAAAAATTTGCCTTTTATTCCATTTAACCTAATTTTTTCACATTCTTATTTACTATAGAAGCAAGACCTAGTTAATGAGCAGTACGAAATAAAGCGGACATTTCTACGACAACCTTTTGAGTGGCAACCAAAGATCCCAGATCTGCCAGAGGCCAACTCAAGTAGACAGTGGATATGTAGGAATTCTGTTCAGGGGAAACAACTTATAGTGGATGAACGGGGTTTGTAGCACATATGTTAAAACATATTTGTGTATTTTTGTAGAATACACTTTTTCATATATATGTTCTCATACTTTGGTGATGGCATTTAGGCTACCATTATCAGATGGACCTTTCTCCTGGTTCATGTATATTCTTCCAATGTCCATCATTACTACATAAACTCTGTGTTTAGATGAGGCTATGTCATTCATTAACTGTGTCAATAAAACAATACAATCATTCACTACACAAATTATGTCACTATGAAAAGAAAGAAAAAAAGTATATAAAGATATACAGTCTATAGGCATGGTTTACCTGTTTGTACGATATATGGTTTTTGCATGAGACTTGTTTATATAATATTATCTTAAAGTGTTATAGTTGACTGGCCAGGCAACTTTAACCTAATTTTTACAGTTAACCTTCACATATTCTTTTACTGTACTTATTGCAAGATTCAATTTTTGTGTGATAAGAAGGCACTTCAGTTTTGAGTCAATATGTCAATGCCCCAATTTTTGTCTTGTTAAACTAGTATGATTTAACTTCAAAACTCAAATGGAAATTCTTGATAGGTATGATACTGTATTTTATTGAAAAATAGAAGGTTATTTTTTTTATCAAGTGTGCACTGAGCTTGATTTTTGAATCAACCAGTCACATGCTCTGTTTTATCTTTTGGTGCCCTTAACACTGGAATCAAGTCTATTTTCAATTTCCAGTTTGATGCATGTGATATTTATTTGTCAGCAATTTCTTTACAGGCTATGTATGTGAGCGAGAACATGTAGTAGGTGGGGGATGCTGTGACAGCAAACATGCCCGCACATCAAAGCACAGCTGTGATACCTGTGAGAAGAATGGATGTTGTGAAAGATATGAATACTGTGTGTCTTGCTGCCTACGTCCAGAAAAGGTAACTGTCTTTCAGTCATGGCTGTTGATTCTTCAGTAGTGAATCTGGTAGATAACATCGAAAATAGGTGAAATTTTAGAATCAAAGGCATAATACATATATGCTTTCCAATTTGGTTTAAATGTTTTCCTTTCTATTTCTGAAATTTATGGTACTGTAGAGCCTTCATTAAATCAACTACAATACAATATATAAAAGGTAGAATCTCTGTACAGCCCTAGTAGTATATCAGATCAAACAGGGAGACAACTAACTAGATGACTCCTGTCTTTTGATTATAGTTCAGAAAACTTATGGGAAGTAATACTTAAAAAAAAATAATTTAAATAAAAAAATAAATGTTCAATTTTGTGCACAGGTTGCTGACAAGTGTTTCATTTTTTAGGAATAAAAAACATAATTAATGATGAAATTAAAGATGTTTTGTGTTCTTTACTAACACTGGATTAAAGTAGAGTTTGTGTTATGTATTGATGAATAAGTATTCGCTGCTAAAAGTTCCTTACAGGAAAATTTCATCTTTCTACAACAGCAGGTTAAAGCTTGCCTAAAACTCAGAATTGGGGGCAAATGTTATTCATGGCTAATTATATACAGTTAAACCTCGTTTCATTGGTCCCAGCCTAACTAAGCATAACTCACTTAAATTGAATACTTGGATAACTTAAAGTTTTCCCAGTCCCCCAGACTTTGAGATAATGAGTTTTGACTTGTACTTACTTCGAAGTAATAGGCAGAAATATGACTCTTTGATAGAAGCAATAAATATTTGGGAGTCCTGTGGTCAAATAAATATTTACCATGACAGCCCTTATGGGAATTATTTTTATTTTCATGTTTGTATTTCACCTGTATTTTTTTAACTTTCAGAAACCTTTAATGCAAAAAATTCTGAAAGAAGGAAGGGAAGCCCTGGACAAGTTATTTGCATCCGTAGATAATCTGTTTGAACTTTGTCTCTCTAAGTGTAGAACTTCATCACTGGTAATTCTATTTTTTTCACTTTTATTGTGGTATAATAACTTAATAAGTACTTTTCACTTAACTAATTAAATCAGTTAGCTAACTATGTTACATTGATTTGTATGGTGTTTTGTTTTCATATAATTGTTGCATCTGTAGTAAATAGAGCGGTAATGTAATACACTTGAATTTGTTGTTGATAGCTGTGAGGATCAGATTTATTAACAAGGCTTTTAAATAAATAATTATATGTGATCACAATTGTTTTTTGTCCACTCCTGGCTGAAATAAATTTGATATGTGCTTTTTTTCATTATAGAGTGTGCAGCATGAGAACTCCTACAGAAACTCTGACACTAAGCATTGTTATGGGGAAAATCCTCCTGACCTTCAAGCTTCAGTACCAGTGTGAGAGATAGTTGTGATAGGAACATATCTGTACAGTATTTATTTTTATACTATGGTGTATCACAATATGTAAATAACAAGGTCATGACCAGACTGTAAATATCATTGTAAACAAATATTGTATATAAAACTATAAAATAGTGGTCACTTTTAATGTGAAATATTGTAACCATGATTATTTTTGTCCATTAATAATTTTACAGAAGTGGTAATTTTATTTGCAGAAAATAGAATTTTTGTTGCAAGGTTTATTGATTTTTAAGCCATTATCAGTTAAATATATTATTTGTTGTTTCTACAACTGGTATACACTTAGGCAGTCTACAAAACAGGTTATAAAATCTGAGATTATCAAGAACATTTGTCAAGGTATAGACATAGATATAGAACAAAGATCTTCAGCACACTGAAAAAGTGTAACAAAAACTAAAATCATGGCGAACAAGATGGGAGCTCCCAAATCTGGGACAAGGGTTGAATACCCAAACAACCCGGACTTTGAAAATCAGCGCCCTTTCTCCCAGGACTGGTTAAACTCCTGCTATCAACAGACCCTGCTTCCTGATGCTCCCTGGCACAAGGTTAGTTTCCAGATATTTATAGCTGAAATCCAAAACTGCCGAATTAGGTTGCCTGTGATAATATCTGCTTTACAGAAAAGTTTAAAGTCATTCTTGAATGCTAACTTCCAATATATAATGTATGTGCTTCAAATAATCTGGAAAATAAGCTGCCATTTGTGTGACATAAAGAATTATTCCATTCGGTAACAGTTGTTTTTGAACTGATAAAAGTATGTAATGTAAAAAGGAATCTTAAATAAGTCCCTATATGAAAGGAAACTTGTCTTATAGTTTATACCTGTGGTTACCTAGGATATGAATAAATATTCTAAAGAAAATTGTGGTGATGTTTGTAAATATTCGCACATCTTTTCTATCTTCCTTTTTAGATGGAACATAAAATAGCTTTAGGATTGGCAAAGAAAGTATCTAAACAGTTCAAAAACCCAGAGAGGAAAGAAGCTTTGTTGGAAAGTCTAGGCAAAATGTTTGTCTCCAGCTACCTACCAGATGTGGAACCCAATCCCCAGATTCTGGTAAAATCATCATCCGATGTATATACACGTGCTATCACACATGTGCCTTACCACTGTGCCACCCAACCACCTGCCAATAGTCAGTATTGTTTATGGGATACTGACATTTCAGCTTGGAAATGTATTCCACGTCGATCATTGATTTTATAATGTCATGAACAAATGAATATTGGTTTGCAAAGTGATCAAATACTGAGTTTCTCGTTTGTCAGATATTGGAGTTATATATTTTAAGAAGATTGTGACATGTATCCTGTTTCAAACTCTGCCTTGAATCTAAATTAGGTTATAATTAAAATTAACTGTCCATTTCTGCACTGATACCAAACCCTTGATCTTAAACTTCTTATTCTGATACACAGCTTTAGGGCTACTAATGCTAGTTTTTTTTTCTATACACAGAAGCCTCCAGATATGGATCCTAAGGAGAAGGCAATCTTAATGAAGGAAGCTGAGGCCTACCTGACAAGTCAGCTGTATAAGTGTGTTAGGGAAGAGGGTTACGGGGACATGCTGGCCAGCACAGATGGGTAAGTGTGTCAGATTGTAAGGCTACACTTGTCCAGATTGGTCAGTGTGGGAGAGATGACATGCTGGCCAGCACAGATGGGTAAGTGTGTCAGATTGTAAGGCTACACGAGTCTAGATTGGTCAGTGTGGGAGGGGTGTCATGCTGGCCAGCACAGATGGGTAAGTGTGTCAGGATGTAAGGCTACATGAGTCCAGATTGGTCAGTGTGGGAGGGGTGTCATGCTGGCTAGCACAGATGTTAACATGTGTCAAGATGTTCCTGATCTGTCAGTGAGACAGGGCTGATGACTTGGCATGTTGGTTGTTGATTAAGTGTTATCATATTTCGTGATGGCATTGAAGAATTGTCTATATCTAGAAAAAAATGTCAAAAAGTTCACAATTTCATGAATGTTTATTTTCATATTTTCCAGAAAAGCTCCAAAAGGGGAATATGCAGAGTTCTTACAGCAATGCTTCAATGTGTTTCATAAAGGGCTGGACCGAGAACTTTACATTCAGGAGTTGGATCTCTCAGTTAGTAAACAACTTTATATCAAATTAAAATTAAGTCGTGTTAGCAGCCTGTAGTCTTTCCATATCTACTACATTTATACACAGATGTTTCTGTTTCTGTACCTTAGCATTCAGGTTGATATAAGGGCCTGCTATATTACCATGGAATTTCTTCAGACTTCAAACTTCAGATATTAAAACAATTTTTTTCAATTGTAGAGAAAGAAAGTGAAAGAGCTGCAAACAGATTCTCAGTTGAGAAAAATGGTGAAACCAAGCCGAGTGAAACCATCGACTACCTCCTCCTCTTCCTCTCTTTCTTCCACACCTAGCGACAAACCCAACTCTGCGGCCATTAGAAGTAAATATGTTGAATCAATATGTACTATAAACAGGTGTTTAAAGGAAATTTTCGATTGAATAAATGTTTTCTTTACTTTTATACAAAATTCAGAGCCAGACTCGTAAAATCATTTATCTCCTTCTTATAGAAAATATATGGTGACAAAAAAAAAATTTCTGCCTTTAATGTTTTTGAAAATACTTGTTCCACTTCTTGATAGGTGATTAGCTTGATATACAGTGAAAACAATATGTATAGATAATGATTAAAGTAACAACATTGTGTAAATGCAATCAATTGTGTTAAGTTTTGAACAATATCTATGGAATATTCTTACATATTGCCATTATGAATTTTCAAAACTCAAATTCTGTATTCCCACTTCAATCACAATTTTCCCAGTGTTTTATCATATGGATGTATTGTAAAATGATATCATGATAAAACTTACTATCTTATAACCTTATAACATTACCCCAGGCGATCCTCAGTTAGTGGCTGGTAAGTCTTTGTCACAGGCAGGTTTCATTCTGTATATTGAAGATGTGTGTATGGTCTGTGCAGTATGTTAAAGTTTTCAAAATAATAATTAATGTGCAAAAATAAATCTAAAACAGGTAGCCGAAAGTTTGTTGGTGCTTCTGTGTTAGATCTTCAATACAAGAAGAATGTGGTGTGATTATAACATTTGTTGTTTGTCATTTTGTTTAGTTGGAAAAGATTTCTGTATTTGTTAATCATGTATTTTTAAGTGAATGAAATAACACTTGGAGTGATAATTATTTGCCTTCTAACATTTGTTGTAAAAAGTATGCTCAAAGGTACTTTATAAACACATGGATTTCTCACTTACCAAACATGGTTGGTTGGTTGGTTACCTGTTTTCTGTCTCCATGACTGTTCCTTTCTTCAAAGTTTTGACCAGAAATACAAAATGCTTATGATTATCTATTATACAACTGTTTCTACTTACCATACAAATCATTGGCTTTGTTGACACTATTACATTGTAAACTTGTGCACGGTAGCTCCTTCATAAATATTATAAGCGGTAACTACAAGTTTGCCTAATATGGTGTCTTTCTTCAAGCTGAATGTTTCGGTAATTTTCTGCTCTATTTATGAAGAATAATCAAATTTGGTCATAAACACGCTAACAACATGAAATATAATTACACATACTGAAAGTAGGTCACTATGATCTATATTTGACCCATTTATTGTTTACAAGTCTTTCACTTGGTATTTTCAGATCTTATACATAAGAACATGTAATTGTCAGATTTGAAACTGTATATCAACATTACCTAATTTTATTTTTCTTGAAGGAATTAAATCTGTATGTTAATTAATCAAACTGGCCAAGAAGGTAGCAAGTAGTTCATCTTCATGCAGAAGATATCTGGATACATTGTTACCAGTCTTTCCTGTTGTCTTTGTGGAAGCAAAGATTGCCATGCAATAGTTTGGTTTAAATTAACAGTCCTTGTATTTCCAAATGAAAGGAAGTGTGAATTATAGACATATGTTTAATTCTTAGCTTAATTTCTTCCTATCAGACAAAATACTACCAACCAACGGAGAGACAAAGTGTAAAACTTTTAACTTTATTGTAGATCTATACTAGATTGTGAAATGTTTTATTAGACAGTCATGTAGCAGGCTACACCTTGTTGTTTGAGAAATTTCCACGAGGAGTTTGAGTTTTGGTATTTGTGTTTTTTGAGGTTGTGGTATGATAAAGACATATAAACAGCTGTATGTTGTAGAGAGGCATCTTAGTAACAACACAAACATGTCTGCTTATAAAATTTGTGCTAGAATGTTTAACTGTCTGTTTACAGTCACTTTTAAAATCCAAGGGTTCCAATTTGGTATGGATATCTTCATCACCCTCAGAATATGTCTTAACAATAGAAATATGAAGGCTGGTTTGTACCAGGGATTGAATATCTCCCTCATCCCTAGACTGATACCTGTTCATTAATATGGAAGAGCTGCTGCTCTTAAACCAAGCCACTTAAGTAAATTAACTGTATTCCATCGTATGATTCCCTAATCTGACATACAGGACTCAAGATTTCTTATATTTATTTATCCTTCAAGTGGCACCACTATTGTCAGAATACACCTGCCACATATATTTTTGCTGTATTCGAAAGTGTCCTAAAACAGCTGTATTGTAGTGCTGTAATTCTACAGTATTACTCTAGTAATTTACTGTAGTCAATAGTCTGATTTTCAATCAATTTTACAGGATAAATCAGATACATGGTCAATGTCTTTAAATATAAGCTGCATTTTGGCTCGGTACAGAAGGACAAAAGTGGCTCACCAGAGGCTTACCACTTTTGTCTTTCTTCCCCTCACTAAAACACAGCTTATATTTTAAGACATTGATCATGTATTCTCTATATATATATATACAAAGCCTTCAATTTTGTTATGACATATTTCAAGTGTATAATGAAAGTATCAATGCGTTTATCAAGATTGTAGCTAAAGGATTTTGAAGATGGCTTACAGTCATACATCATGTAGATTTCGTTGTAATAAATATTCATGTAGTGTGTAATATTATTTGACTTTGCCAGGTAAATATTTTGAAATACCATATGTAGTGCTGATTGCATTTTCATTTTTAGTTTTGGTTTGTAGTTCTGAAATATTGTAGGGTGTTTTTTATGCGATTGTTTTTTTAGATTATTCATTTATGTGCAGGAATTTACATTGCTTAAAACCATAGTCTTTCATAATACTTGTTGTGGTAAATATGATCTTGAGCTGATGACCATTGAATTCTGTCTACAGTAACAGTACTTAGTCATAGTTACAGAATTATGTCATCATTACTTTTATTATACTTCTGTTTTAAAAAACAGACCTGCCCGACCACGTTGGTTTTCCCCAGGTACTCCAGTTTCCTCCCACAATAAGGCCCCTCGCGCTTACAACCAGGCCAACAAGAGTGAATAGTATAAGTTGACATAACTTGTTTCGCAATTGTTGTAAAATAAATAAAGTTTGTATTATATTATATATAACAGACATGAAGTTAAGACAGTTTATCTTCTGTAGTTTATTTGTCATGTTTACTAGTTATGAAGGAGTAAGAAACAGTAAATTGCAGAAATCACAAAGTTATGATATTATTCCATTATAAATTCTAACATTACAGCGATGGTACAGAAAGTTGAGGGAGACCCTCCTCCATTGTGGGGAGTCCAGAGTGATGCCATTGGTCAAGCTGTCATGGCCATCCTAGAAAGAGACCCACGCAAGTTTGACCATGTTGCTGGTAGAATGCATGGACGACAATTGCCTGGAACTCTCCGCGCTCACATGTGGGCAGATGTGTTGTTTAGGGAAGAGCGTAAACGTCTCTCTGAAGGGTAAGGCCATTATTCAGAGGTTTTTCTGAAAGTTTTCAATATGGGTTTTTTTTCCCATCAAATAATTATTGTAATAATCATAGTTATTTGTTTACATTTAGAGCATTTAATGCACAACTAGAAGATTAATTGACATCGGGTAGTAGATAGTAGATTATGATCTGACAGAATAAATTACTGTTCTGGCTCTGTGCTGATATTTGTTGTATGTTAACAGTAACCTTGAGAGGGTGTTACGTGAGCGTTTTGCCAAAGCTGTGGCTAGAGGAGTACAGGACCTGAGGATCACACGAGCCACTAACACACCCATTGCAGGCCTCATAGAAAATGCTGTTGTTGAGGTAGGCATTAGTAACCTTTCTATAACAAATGTATATGTATCATAGACATATACCATTGTATGTAAAATTTGTCCTGAAATTCTTAATGAAATTATACAACTATTTTTTATTTAAGGAATTACCATATTTATTTGACAATAAACCCATGCCAGGTAATAACCCCACCCATCTATTGAAATTTGAGTAGAAATGACAGATACTTTATCATTGTCCTGTAATTAGCACACCTGCACATCTGAGGTGGTGTTTAACAACCTGACTTTTTTGCAGGGAGAGAATGTGACAAGATGTGATAAATGATCAATTCACTGATAACTTTCTTTTATCTACAGACATATAACAAAACAACTGGTATGGTGGCATTTCGGACCACTGAACACATGATTGAGTCTAGCCGCACGCTCAATGTTCTCTATACGTTTGACCGAAGCTACGAGCCTTACCTTATACACTGGCTGTTCCCTCTTCAGGTCTGCTTTCAACAACCCTCCGAAAAACCGAAAGAAAAAGGTATAGTTACCTGTAGACATGAGTGTGTTTCAAACAGATGTTCACCAAAAGACAATTTATGTGACAAGAAGTTAATGTTAGATTTAGATAAGTGGAGGTTATTGTTTATAATGTTGTACACTAAGATAATGCTCAACTGTCATTGTTCTAATGAGTGATGTACTTGATAATGTCCCTTTTATATCCTATATCAGTGACATGCTTCATCGCATAACTAACAGACCCAATGAATGCATCCATACGATAGTAAAAAAGAACATTAAATGATATCAGCAAATTTGGTGTCTTAAACTTTACATTTTATTGTGTATAAATAAAATCTTTGAGGTAATCTTGCAAGATAATTGTCAGAGAAAATATATTGTACAAATATCTTGTGACACTCTTAACTGTGGAATAAAAGTTGTTTTTGGCAAATGACTCAAGAAAACTGAAATCTGAGATTTCATACCATAAAGATGATGTTGTTCTTAACATGACAACTTCCTATTTGTTGCCCTGTGATATTTATCAGGATCCCTTCTGTATTATAGGTCAGCATGTCTATGAGTTAGCTATGTACTTGGATCTTCTCAACAATTCTTGCTTCCCAACGTGGATCCAGGTGTTTGCGATTGCAGAGACAGTGATGAATATACTGAGTCAGACTGACCCCGATATGTACACCCACCTTAAGGCCATTGCCACCACTCATGTCAAGATCAACAAAAAGGTACATACCCCTCACCTGTACTTACTGTCACAATCAACAAAAAGGTATCTAGCCCTCACCTGTACTTACTGTCACAATCAACAAAAAGGTATCTAGCCCTCACCTGTACTTACTGTCACAATCAACAAAAAGGTATCTAGCCCTCACCTGTACTTACTGTCACAATCAACAAAAAGGTATCTAGCCCTCACCTGTACTTACTGTCACAATCAACAAAAAGGTATCTAGCCCTCACCTGTACTTACTGTCACAATCAACAAAAAGGTATGTAGCCCTCACCTGTACTTACTGTCACAATCAACAAAAAGGTATCTAGCCCTCACCTGTACTTACTGTCACAATCAACAAAAAGGTATCTAGCCCTCACCTGTACTTACTGTCACAATCAACAAAAAGGTATGTAGCCCTCACCTGTACTTACTGTCATTATCAACAGAAAGGTATCTAGCCCTCACCTGTACTTACTATCACAATCAACAGAAAGGTATCTAGCCCTCACCTGTACTTACTGTCACAATCAACAAAAAGGTACATACCCCTCACCTGTACTTACTGTCACAATCAACAAAAAGGTATCTAGCCCTCACCTGTACTTACTGTCACAATCAACAAAAAGGTATGTAGCCCTCACCTGTACTTACTGTCACAATCAACAAAAAGGTATCTAGCCCTCACCTGTACTTACTGTCACATCAACAAAAAGGTATCTAGCCCTCACCTGTACTTACTGTCACAATCAACAAAAAGGTATCTAGCCCTCACCTGTACTTACTGTCAAGATCAACAGAAAGGTATCTAGCCCTCACCTGTACTTACTGTCACAATCAACAAAAAGGTATCTAGCCCTCACCTGTACTTACTGTCAAGATCAACAGAAAGGTATCTAGCCCTCACCTGTACTTATTGTCACAATCAACAAAAAGGTATCTAGCCCTCACCTGTACTTACTGTCACAATCAACAAAAAGGTATGTAGCCCTCACCTGTACTTACTATCACAATCAACAGAAAGGTATCTAGCCCTCACCTGTACTTATTGTCACAATCAACAAAAAGGTATCTAGCCCTCACCTGTACTTACTGTCACAATCAACAAAAAGGTATCTAGCCCTCACCTGTACTTACTGTCACAATCAACAAAAAGGTATCTAGCCCTCACCTGTACTTACTGTCATGAAACTGACCCTGCTTTAAAATATAGCTGAGCTTTGGAAACATAACAGTATCTATGAGGTCATGATTTACATGACATTTAACTTGACACGTGTTTTCAGGAGTTCCTTGTCCAGTTGATCAGTGTAGAGAAGGCCAAAGCGGAAGAGCTACTAAAGGCCACACCAGGAAGTAAGCGAGAAGAAAGCATGAACTCTGAACTCCTCGCTGACCCCCTAATCTTCCTCCGACGCTGGATAGGAGAGGTTTGTCAATCTTCAAAATTTCTTCCTCTTAAAAAAATTAAGCAGAGCAATTTTTTATCATATTCGGTCATGTATATAATGCATGCATCAATTCATTAAATGTTATAATCTCTTGAAATTGATAATATACGAAAGCTTTTAGAATGCTGAAATATCTGCTTACAATAGTATTTTTTTCCACCTTCACATTGAACAGTACAATGGTGTTTTTCAGGGCTTTGTCAGTGTTCTGGACACACCTGGTATCATGTATGTGTGGGACCAGTGTTTCCTACAGGGTTGGCAGCCATCTGTCCTCCAGAACTTTGCCATGGCCATCCTGATGTTGCTGAAACATAAGTTTATGAAGGCCAGGGACTATACTAGCATGAAGGAGGTAAGATACATACAGTACGGTCTGTTACCACACTTAGTGGTCGGGGACTTCACTAACATGAAGGAGGTAAGATACATACAGTACGGTCTGTTACCACACTTAGTGGTCGGGGACTTCACTAACATGAAGGAGGTAAGGTACATACAGTACGGTCTGTTACCACACTTAGTGGTCGGGGACTTCACTAACATGAAGGAGGTAAGATACATACAGTACGGTCTGTTACCACACTTAGTGGTCGGGCACTTCACTAACATGAAGGAGGTAAGATACATACAGTACGGTCTGTTACCACACTTAGTGGTCAGGGACTACAATGACATGAAGGAGGTAAGATACATACAGTACGGTCTGTTACCACACTTAGTGGTCGGGGACTTCACTAACATGAAGGAGGTAAGGTACATACAGTACGGTCTGTTACCACACTTAGTGGTCGGGGACTTCACTAACATGAAGGAGGTAAGATACATACAGTACGGTCTGTTACCACACTTAGTGGTCGGGCACTTCACTAACATGAAGGAGGTAAGATACATACAGTACGGTCTTCTACCACACTATCAAGTGGTCAGGGACTACACTAACATGAAGGAGGTAAGATACATACAGTATGGTCTGTTACCACACTATAAAGTGGATGGGGACTTAACTAAAATGAAGGAGGTAAGATACATACAGTATGGTCTGTTACCACACTATAAAGTGGTCAGGGACTACACTAACATGAAGGAGGTAAGATACATACAGTACGGTCTGTTACCACACTATAAAGTGGTCGGGGACTACACTAACATGGAGGAAATCAGATACATAAGAATTATCTATCAACACACTATAAAGTGGTATGTATCATACCTTTGTAAACAGTTATAGCTCAACAAGATAACAATGAAAGGCATTGCATTAGATATAGTAATTAGAAAGTTTTGGGACCTATCTAATGGTTTCCTAATTATCAATGGATCAAAAAACTTGCACTGCAGTAACCGCTTATCAATATTTTAATTTTTCTTTTTTTTTTTTTTTTCCTAAATCTGACCACAAAAAAGTAGCTGTGCTCTATACCTGAGTGTGCACTATATGTGCTAATTTACAGTATTTTAAGAGCAGTTAATTGCAATCATTGATACACTTTCAAGAAAGTTGGTTTTTCAAAACTTGACAACTCATGTTTGTTGTTGAATATACATTTGGACTTTGGTTATAAGAAGAATGATTATGATGGGTCTGTCAGATCTCCAGGAAAACACAGTACTTGTCAGTCTGAAGGCAAGATCATATACATAACTTAACAAGAATCGAAAGCAATAGGGGATGTGAAACTGTGTGACATTGTATGTAGGAAAAACAAAAACAAACATTTGTGAAAGGAAAATTGAATAGAATATAGAACAGAGAATACTTACATTGTATATCTGGAGCAGGAAAATTGTTATGATTAATTATGGGTTATTTTTGTGTTGTAGGTGTTTTTCTTTGAGCCATGTAAGTTGTACACAGTTGATATTCAAATGGCCTGGATCCACCTGGAGAGTGGAAAAGACCTCATGGAGATTCCCTACCTGAACCGACAGCGTCCTGTGTAAGTTAATTTTTCTTATTACTCTTTATGAATCTATGTTCTAGCTGTTAAATTTCTCAGGGCTGAAATAAAGGTTCATGGATATTCCATTTCCTGCATGTCTGTGAATGAAACCCCCTTGTCCTTAATGTCAGTCGAACATTACCACCTTGTCCTTAATGTCAAACGAACAAAACCCCCTTGTCCTTAATGTCAAACGAACAAAACCCCCTTGTCCTTAATGTCAGTCAAACCAAGCCCCTTTGTCCTTAATGTCAGTCATGCATGCCTTGTTACTCTGCCATTTTAACAGGACATGTATAAACTTCTACCCATGATCATACTTTTCCTTTCCCAAATCAATGTCATTTTGTTTTATAAGATAATTGTGATTTTATTATATTCAAATAACCTCCACTGTTTTATCATCTGCAAATTCAATATTTGTATAGTGTAGGACCACTATCTACCTGATAACTACACTTCTATATCCCAGTCATATTTTGTGGACTGTTCTTGATACAGATGTTTCTACTTTCTTTGTCATCCTTTTACAAGAGAAATATATTCACTACTGTCATTTTAGGTGTTGGTCTTCCACAGATAACTGATAAATGGCATTTAGTTTTAGAACTACTGTTTATTTCATCTATTAAGGGGTTTTATTTTCAATATTATGGCCTTTCGCCCCTATTAGCAGAGGAGAAAAGATAAGAAAATGAGTAAAGGGGAAATGATATGAAGGGATAGGAGAGAGTGGGATACAGAGGCCATCTGTTCTACCTGACCTGTTTTTCACTATAGTTTTCAAGACAACCTCCTTGGCCCAATTATAGCTCTAACTTAACACTAACTAGACGTGTTGCAGCAAGTTACATGACTTTAAGACTGCTTATTTTGGTCAAAGAATATACAGGGTTACATGTCTCTCAGACTGTGTTTTTTTGGTCAAAGAATATAAAAAGTTTAATTAAAATAGATTACACCTGCTGAACTTTTGTCAGTATACCATTTGATAAAATCTTTGTTTATTCACATTGATTAAAATCACAATAGCTTTCTACTAACAGCATCTTTTACCAGAACACTTTCATTACTTGGAATCTGTTTCTATTTCAGCATTCTAGTATTGTAAGATTTAATGTTAACATGTGAAAACATCCCACAAACCATTTGAGTTCATGTTTTAATGTATTGTTTTACAGTGTTCATTAGAGCATGCATTGATTCCTATCTTTAAAATTCCAATACAAAAGACTGTCTTGATTACTTATGTGAGGGTGTATGTGTGTGTATATGTGTATACACAGGGCATGTAATAATGTGTAGTATGTTTAATACTGTCTAACATGATAAACCAACACATTGGAGTTAATCATTTACTGCTAAACCCACACATTTCCTCAATTTAATGGTGGCATGAACCCACGTTTGACAAATGAAAGTAAGAAGTTTCGATACATTTTCCCATGCAGGTGAGTAATGACATCAGCTTCATACCAATCTGTTTGATGCCATTACCTTCAGATTCACATTGGGAGCTTATCTTACATCATTCCTATTTCACTGTTTCTCTGTGTTACAGGACACCAGCTTCACATCTCCGTGGAGGTGAATCTAATATCATTCCTATGATTATTTCACTGTTACTCTGTTTCACAGGACGCCGACTTCACATCTCCGTGGAGGTGTATCAATTATCATTCCTATGCCCATTTCACTGATATTCTGTGTAACAGGACGCCGGCTTCATGCCTCAATAGAGGTGTATCTTTTATCATTCCTATAACCAATTCACTGATACTCTGTGTTACAGGACGCCGGCTTCACATCTCAGTGGAGGTGTTTCCATTATCATTCCTATGCCCATTTCACTGATATTCTGTGTAACAGGACGCCGGCTTCACGTCTCAATAGAGGTGTATCAATTATCATTCCTATGCCCATTTCACTGATATTCTGTGTTACAGGACGCCGGCTTCACATCTCAGTGGAGGTGTACCCATTATCATTCCTATAACCATTTCACTGATATTCTGTGTTACAGGACGCCGGCTTCACGTCTCAGTGGAGGTGTATCAATTATCATTCCTATGCCCATTTCACTGATATTCTGTGTTACAGGACACCGGCTTCACATCTCAGTGGAGGTGTACCCATTATCAATCCTATAACCATTTCACTGATACTCTGTGTTACAGGACGCCGGCTTCACGTCTCAGTGGAGGTGTTTCCATTGCCAGTCCTACTGTCCCTGGCTTCCTTCCACCATTTGGTATGAAGGATGTTAGCTTAAAACTTGTTATACCATCAACAGCTGTTTCAAAGGTAGGCTCTTAAGACTTTCTCAACTACTAATTACATGAAACAGTACTACATGACATGATTCTTAAGGATCATTTTGTGAATATCTTTGACAATACAAACAGCAACCAAACAATTTCAAGGACAAATGACCAAGATGATTATTTCAGAATATTGAATTTTTGCAAATACACATACAGTAGGAACCATGTAATGTCATGTCTATGTCATGTAATGTCATATCTGTTCTGTGTAATCCAACATTAGATAATGTCACTTACTTCCATGTGGGCAACATGACAATGTCGTAATCATAATGGCAAATTATACACACCTCATAGACTCCTAAACATATGAAGTGATAATCAAAACTGAACCAAATTTTGAAGAATTTCCAATAAATTGTGTTTGTTTTGTTATTTTACAATTACCCATAAACTTGGGCACTTCCAATACAAAACTTAGCATCTTAGCATAGAAGATTTTTTTCAAGTTTCTTGCAGTGAAGTCGAGATCAATTAAAAATTCTTCCTTGAAGGTGAGAGAAATCCTTGTGTATTGAAATAGGGGAAAGCCCTTGTATATCAAAATTTGGAGAAATCCTTATAGATTGAAATTGCAGGAAGGCCTTGTCAATTGAAGTCGTGGACAGTCTATGTTTATTGAAATTCAGAAAAATCCATGTATATTACAATCACATATGATGAAATTTATGACTGAAGTAATAATATAATAAATAAATAATACATTTATATTTTTTTCCCACCAGGAGTCATGGTTGAATTACTTGAATGCTGCAGACCTAGTTCTGCATGTATCAATCTACTTTGGCAGTATAAAGCTCCGGTCACGTATGTCCATGCACCCTGCCTACACTGCAGTACAAACAAAAGATGTGTACAAAAATCTGCTGTATGAGATTCACTTTCCCCAGGACAAGTTTGTTTATGAGAGTATCGACATTTCTCAGTACGATGTGGAACGTGAGCTTGGAGCCCACCCTTATGCCCTACTGAGGGTGGAGTACAAGAAACCAGCCTCTAAAAAATCAGGTAAATCATACTTACTCAAGATAGAGATAGAGACCAGCTATAATAGCCGTACAGGAGAGTCATACTTACTCAAGATAGAGATAGAGACCAGCTATAATAGCCGTACAGGAGAGTCATACTTACTCAAGATAGAGATAGAGACCAGCTATAATAGCCGTACAGGAGAGTCATACTTACTCAAGATAGAGATAGAGACCAGCTATAATAGCCGTACAGGAGAGTCATACTTACTCAAGATAGAGATAGAGACTAGCTATAATAGCCGTACAGGAGAGTCATACTTACTCAAGATAGAGACCAGCTGCACTAGCCATACAGGTGAGTCATACTTACTCAAGATAGAGATAGAGACCAGCTGCAATAGCCATACAGGAGAGTCATACTTACTCAAGATAGAGATAGAGACCAGCTGCAATAGCCATACAGGAGAGTCATACTTACTCAAGATAGAGATAGAGACCAGTTGCAATAGCTGTACAGGAAAGTCATACTTACTCAAGATAGAGATAGAGACCAGCTGCAATAGCCGTACAGGAGAGTCATACTTACTCAAGATAGAGATAGAGACCAGCTATAATAGCCGTACAGGTGAGACATACTTACTCAAGATAGAGATAGAGACCAGCTATAATAGCCGTACAGGAGAGTCATACTTACTCAAGATAGAGATAGAGACCAGCTATAATAGCCATACAGGAGAGTCATACTTACTCAAGATAGAGACCAGCTGCACTAGCCATACAGGTGAGTCATACTTACTCAGGATAGAGATAGAGACCAGCTATAATAGTCGTACAGGAGAGTCATACTTACTCAAGATAGAGATAGAGACCAGCTGCACTAGCCATACAGGTGAGTCATACTTACTCAAGATAGAGATAGAGACCAGCTGCACTAGCCATACAGGTGAGTCATACTTACTCAAGATAGAGATAGAGACCAGCTGCACTAGCCATACAGGAGAGTCATACTTACTCAAGATAGAGATAGAGACCAGCTGCAATAGCCGTACAGGAGAGTCATACTTACTCAAGATAGAGATAGAGACCAGCTGCAATAGCCATACAGGAGAGTCATACTTACTCAAGATAGAGATAGAGACCAGCTGCACTAGCCGTACAGGTGAGTCATACTTACTCAAGATAGAGATAGAGACCAGCTGCACTAGCCGCACAGGAGAGTCATACTTACTCAAGGTAGAGATAGAGACCAGCTATAATAGCCGTACAGGAGAGTCATACTTACTCAAGATAGAGATAGAGACCAGCTGCAATAGCCGTACAGGAGAGTCATACTTTCTCAAGATAGAGATAGAGACCAGCTGCACTAGCCGTACAGGAGAGTCATACTTACTCAAGATAGAGATAGAGACCAGCTATAATAGTCATACTTACAGGAAGTCATACATTCATACTTACTCAAGATAGAGATAGAGACCAGATAGTACAGGCATACTTACTCAAGATAGAGATAGAGACCAGCTGCACTAGCCGTACAGGTGAGTCATACTTACTCAAGATAGAGATAGAGACCAGCTGCAACATTTTATGCTGTTAGTAGTAAAACAACATAACTTGCCTCCTCTAAAGAGGTCACTACTGTCCAGCCAGGTTTGAAAATTTAACAATAATTAAATTCCTTTTCTCCTCAGTAAAGGCCACCAATCCACTGTCCAACTCATTTGGACATGATAATTGTACTTTCAAAGATAATAAATTAAATTAAGTGCCTCATCTGTACAGACCATGACTTTCCAGCTGGACTGGACATGATGAGGTATCTTACATATTAATAATTGTAAATAAATTACCTCCTCTTTAGATGCCGCTACTGTCCAGCTGGGCTGGGCACGTGTGCCCTTGTTTTACCGGGACTCCCTAGATGGGCGGACATCAACAGACTCTGTAGATGTACAATGGACATTACAGGCAGGAGAAAACAAACATTCCATTCACTCTGGTGAAGTGCCTGACAGCCTCATCTCGACTGTCCCTCAGACACCAAAGGAGAAACCGGGTAGGTACAGCTTATATTGTTCTGGTGTAGAACATAGTATTTTGATTTCTTTCCCTTAAATCTATAATCAAATTAGCATTTTAATATGAGAAACTCTAGCATATCATTGGTGACCGTTATGTTGAAATCCACAGACTATAAAACTCTAGCATATCATTGGTGACCGTTATGTTGAAATCCACAGACTATAAAACTCTAGCATATCATTGGTGACCGTTATGTTGAAATCCACAGACTATAAAACTCTAGCATATCATTGGTGACCGTTATGTTGAAATCCACAGACTATTTGTAAAATTGTTTGGAATTGTTACTGGTATTGTTAATTCCTGGTACAGAACTTTCTTATATTGGAATCAGTAAGTACTACAGTGCTGTCTCTCTACTGAAGATTGGTTCAACTCAGAGGTCAAGGCTACTTAGTACTGATATCACTCATTGTCTAATTTAATAATTCTTTATATTGGTTAGAAATTGAAGGAATGTATTGTTAACATGTAACGTTATACTACAGAGGGTCTGCTTGGATACAGCTCGGAGCTTGGTGCGGTGGTTTATGAACCTAAACATGAGCCCAAGTCCAAGAAGAAAGTGGAAGAGGTTAAAATCATCACTCCTCCACCAGAGACCCCAGTCGAGGTTGAAGAGGTAGAGGAAGAGAAGAAAGAGTAAGTCCCTTATCTCTGAAATTGTCTGGATATTCAATCAGAAACTGAAACCTCATCGTTTTATTTATTATCATTTACAATCATATGAACACAGATTTTAAGTTGTAATCAATTATATAATTACATAATTTAAGTAAGCTGGTTTAGAAGGTTGTTTTTGAGATGTTTGTCCTTCTATCAATCACTAGAACACTAATCTATGACATATTCATCCATCATAATCAGAGAACAGTTTATCATTCTTATCATCATTGAAGACCATCTCTTTTGAGGCTAAACATAACACAGCCTATTGAAACAGTCTTTAGATCTAGCTGTTATTACCAATCCTAGCTTTCTGATTGGTGGAAATATTCCAATGAGTTCACCATACTACATAGCAGCAGTCATATGCTATGACCACTGTTCCCATCTTTCAAAGCATCTTAAAACACTCGGTGTGCATGGAAATAGTCAAATTGAGATTTGCATCCATTACAAACTAGCATTGGTTTGCAGAGGATTCTCCGAGGCAGGACAATATGGTGGAATGCACAGAATTGTGGAGTCACTGACATCTGTTCTTAGCAGTCTATCTGTTGGCTATAAGTGATAATCTGTGATAGTAAGAGTCATAAAGACTCTTCAGAAAAGATGTCATGAAATAATCAGTACAGTTAGTGGGGTCATAGATAAGATAGAGATGTTGTTATTTGTAAAATTGATTGAATAATGGAGAGTTAAATTTTCCTCGATCACGAGCAGTGTGTATCAAACTCAAGGGCAATGTCTTCAATTATATATCTAAAAATACGCAGTAAGTTGGTGACATCAAAAGATATGATTGTAAAACATTAATATACAAAGTTTCAGTTTAATTTATGAGAAAATTACAGAGTTATGATCATTTTACTCCAGCAAGAATGACCGCTTGGCACATGTGTGTATATTTTACGCAAATACCATGTGTACTTGTGATGCGTCAGACATTGTTGCTTAAAATACTCAAAGAAGTAAACAACATCAAAAGGTGTATTGTTAATAAAAATCATAAGACATCTTTATACCAAGTTTTTTTCCTAGACAGATGACAGTACAATGTGTACATGTATCACACTTGCGAGCGGTGCCATCTTACTTTTTGTAGTTGTTTTAGTTTGATTTAATTAAGAATTTTATCAAATACAATCATTTTATGACTTTTAACGAGATATATTAAACACTTGGTAAGCATTTTTTTGTTTTTATATTCCACATCACACAATGTAATGCACAAACCAGATCATTGTGATATCTGTGAGTAATGTTATCTATCATGTCCCACTGTCTTATTGTGCGAGCACCTGCTGACAGACTGAGGCTCCAACTATGTATTGCAAGTGATCAGTACACAAAGCATGAAATGTAGGCAAGTGTATTTTGCCAAAGAGTAACAGTCTTTCACTAAACACTTTGATAAGATAATTGTGCAAAGACTATCCTGATAATAATGAATGATTAATTATATGATTGTTAGATTTACAGCTATGCTTTGTGAATACCAAGGAAGCTGATTTTAATAAATGACAAATCTAGTCATAAGACCCAACACAGACTCTACATACTAATATGTTATTGCTAACCTCTGTTTCAAAAGATAACCATATGTAATTGACATTTTTTAATGTCTCGCACAGACCACTGTCTCTAAGATTAAGAATGGTAATTTCCCATTTTGCTAGTTGCTATCATGTTTTTGCACATTTGATTAGAATTATGAGTGAAGGATGACAGCTTGTTGGTATGCCCATATCCAAATTGATCCTAGTTGACCCCAAAGGGCTGTTAGGCAGAGACAAAAGGGGTCAAATTGACTTCTCAACACCCAGGTATACTCTTCTAGGATGGAACATCTTCAGGTGCTTTTATTACCAATTACCAAAATGACTCTCACATTTCTTCCTAGAGAGGAGATTAACTTTACTAAAACATTTTATTGAAAAATCACATTTTTGAGCTAACATTTTGTATTTCCCACTGGAAATAACTTTGTAAGATTTGTTAGCATAGGATGACAGTTTTGATGGTATTCATGTATTGACATTGGCTTACTATCATCAATGTCACAATTTCCTTTTCACAACACTTGAAAGCTACTTTCCCTTTAACCTTTATATTAAATATTGCTGATCTCAGGTGACCATCAAGGCCACTAGGTCTCCTGATTCCGTTCTTTAATTGAACTCCTTATTTCATTTGTATATATATGTGCAAGGTTAATCTTTTTGGTCTTGGGTAAAATCTGATAATTGTAGAACAGAAAAATTGGGTTACTTCCCTTGGACAACAAATGATGTAGATATCATGCTGGAATGAGAGAAAAAATGCAGTAACATTAAAGTTATGCAATTCCTCTGTTGTACAGGGAGGAGGTTATCAAGACTCCAGATGAACTGCTTGATCCTTGGGTGGAATACAATCCATTTGCATCTAGGAAGGATCCAGAACCAACAGGTCTCAACTCCAGATTTGATCTGTATATTGATGCTGTCCACTTTATACCTGACAATGCTTCCATTATTAAGGTAAGTGTATCAAATGATATTAAGCCAACTGTCATCAGATGTTGGGCTTTTGAAATCACCCTATATCTACATCTATTGTCTTCTGTCCATCCGTCATCCATCCGTAAACAGTATACCTTGTTTTGATTTCCGGAAAAGCACTGAAACAGTATTTTCAAGGGAAATGAAATTTTGGACTGGTGGCCATCTTGAATTATGGAAATTGAAGTTTTTTATTGCTCTTTCTGGAAAAGTACTGGCAGGATGAATTTTTACACTCAAATTTTTTGCATGTTAATTCATTAACTGATCATCAAGTAAATGTATGAAATCCATTAAAACAACCATGCTGTCCCCGAAATAGGAAGGAAAGAAGAAATTCAAGTGAACTTGAGTTGAACCAAGAAAAATCATGTGATGGTAGACACTAATTTTGTTTTGGAATATTTTGTACTATTTTCCTTGATTCTTCATATGCAACTCTTAGTTTAAGTCTGTTGTATCAAATGTTTTAGTCTCTGGTTTCAATCTTGATGTTGTAAATATACCTAATGTGACCCTGTGACTACAGGGGAAAACTTCGGTGGAATATTAAATTTCTCTCTCTCTCTTCATATGCTTAATCTTAAGTTGCTCTGGAACATCCTGTGGCCAGTGGAATTTGAATGTACATAAAACAAAAGATTGTTTGTTAGGTCCACTTATTCTGAATGATGTACTGGAAATATAAAGTTCATCATTGTAATATTGCTATGATTTACCCACAGGTCACTGGAATCATAGGGGCACCAGACATGACCAAAGTGTTACTGGCACTGCCAGACCTTAAAAGTTCAGCTCGTAGTCCAAGATTTGTGTTCAGACTGGAATTTAATGAAGAGGAGAAGGAGTTGAATCCACAGATGGTGGCCTTCCTTCGTGTCTATACCTACGACATCTTCGCTGAAGAAATATCAGTCATAGGCAGTGTGTTTGTACCAATCTTCAATGTAAGATTTTAATATGTACTTTTGTATACCTGTCATAACTTATCTATTTATAAAGGTCTAACTTCTTCAAACTCTTTCCAACATCACTGTCCAAGTCATGGCCATTGAGAAATTCCACGGTATTAAGACAAAGAAAGTGGCTGTCTGTCTATTTGTATAACCATTTCCTATGGATTTTGTTCTTTAGTTCATGTGATTCAAAGAATTGGTAAGCTCATGCCATACCACAGCATCAAAGTCATTTAAGTTAATATAAAAATGAACAGAAAATAACTATAAAAATAGACCTTTCAAGACTTTGCAGGATGGATATTAATTTGATGATGTAGTATATGATCTGTTAACAACTTTTTAACAGAAAGGAAAGCTGAATGTGGGCGGACATCAGTTACGACTACGAAATGGTCTACCAAAGAACAGAGCAAGGTACAAGGTGACAGATTTGGACCAGTTCAAGGTCGTGCCTGCTTCCTCCATTCTGGTTCGAATCCTGCCACATGAACAGGTATGCAGCTTTAATGTAAACTTATTTTACGTTTTACGGCAGGTTATTATATGAATACTACTGTTAACACTGTCTAATTTATAATTGGTTTCTTCGGGTTTTGCTCATTTGATAAATGAGTGTTAGTTAAGTGTATTGATAAGCATATATACGTTTTACAGCAGTGTGTGTTTATTAAATGTAAATGTATGTGCTGTGCCTGTTGGAAGTTTCTGCTTCACAGTACTGTCAACCTGTTTTTTATTCCAAATCCTTAAGCCTATTAATTTAATGTAGTAAATCATAAGAACTACTTAACTAAAATGGGATTGTCCTGATTTTCAAGCAGTTTGCTGTGGAAATGATCTACATAAATGATTACCATTGAGCCTTTCTGCCATTCTTAGTAAATGAAGGCAAAGTCCTTTTCTAATTGTAGTATAGGTCTAACTATATGTTTGTCACATGATCAGTTTTTTAGGGTTCTTTTTTTTTTTTAATTGTTTTTTTTTTACATCAAATGGCATTGTGTTTAAAGTGTACACTGAGTGTAATTTTATATTTAGATATAATGTTAAGAAGGCCGTAAAAATAATAATAACGAAAACCCTGTCGAAATCTGTCACCCCAGTGTCGAGTTATTAAATCTCAAAGTTTTCGATTTTCACCTGTCCCCTCAGACCTAATCAGGTAATCGCCATTTCTGCGGAATCGAGGCGCTTCTACTCAATAAGCAATTAATTTTTTTCACAAAAGCATCAGTAGATCATGACACTGTCATTTATTAAAACAACCTGAGCATATTAAAGCATAAAATCTGAGGAACTGACTGAGATGAAAACAACCTGGTATATTAAGATATAACTAATCCAGTTTTGACTGTGATGTGGTCATGACTTTAAAACATTTAATTGGCTTACTTTGTAGGAATATATTGATGCTCCAAGGTATGGTATAGGCTATTATCATTCTGAACCAGCTCGACCAACCATCACAGATGAGAGAATATTTGCCAGTTATGCTGACCACATGAACTACCCCAAGACAGAAACGCACATGATACAACGGCTACAGAGCTCTCAAGGATTCCCACTTGGTGAGGAGTTAACTTAATTCGAGCTGTAAAGATATTTACCTATATAAGATGGAATATTGCTTTATGGCATGTAACATAGTAACATTATTACAATAGTCTCTATGGAGTTGCAAGAAATAATTTCTTGGGTCCAACTGCTTTTTACTCTTTGACCTTTGACCTATTTCACAGGTGAAACTGATGAAGAACTTCTTGGTTGGCTCCAAGCCAAACTAGATATCAAGAAAGTGGGTCCGAAATTCACTGCTGGTAATCTTCCTCTGGATGCTATGGTCAGATATCGTATTAAACAAGGACTGAGAGTTCGGGTAAACAGATTGTGGGGACTGCCACCTATAGGTAAGGATAGATTCCTGGTTAGAGATTTTTAAGATTTTTTGTTGTTTTCCTTTAACTGAATAGGCCATTGGACAAAAATATCAAATTTTGACATTAAGGAAGATCATTGTACCCTACGGTTCAAGACCAAAACTGGTGATTTGCCACTATGGCAAACATATCTGTTTGAGCACAGCAGACTTGTAAACCAGTATTATGTATGCCTCTTTCTCCACAGATAATCTGTACCATTGTCTTTTTTTTTTAGATAATCTGTACACCTGTCTTATCCCTACAGATAATCTGTACACCTTTCTTACCACTACAGATAATCTGTATACCTGTCTTACACCTACAGATAATCTGTACCATTGTCTTATTTTTGAGATAATTTGTACACCTGTCTTACCCATGCAGATAATCTGTACACCTGTCTTACCCCTACAGATAATCTGTACCATTGTCTTATTTTTGAGATAATTTGTACACCTGTCTTACCCATGCAGATAATCTGTACACCTGTCTTACCCCTACAGATAATCTGTACCATTGTCTTATTTTTGAGATAATCTGTACACCTGTCTTACCCCTGCAGATAATCTGTACCATTGTCTTATTTTTGAGATAATATGTACACCTGTCTTACCCCTACAGATAAACTGTACACCTGTCTTACCCCTACAGATAATCTGTACACCAGTCTTATCCCTACAGATAAACTGTACACCTGTCTTACCCCTACAGATAATCTGTTCACCTGTCTTACCCCTACAGATAAACTGTACACCTGTCTTACCCCTACAGATAATCTGTTCACCTGTCTTACCCCTACAGATAATCTGTACACCTGTCTTAACTACACTTATAATTTATACATTTTTTTTTACCTGCACAGATAATCTGTACACCCAGTGCTATTGTAAGATAGAGCCGGGAGAAAAGGTGAGAGGAATGCCACTGACAGCAGAAGGACATGGTGGAGAGGAACGCTTCCTCACCAACAAGATTGATTTCAACAGCCTCATGACAGATCCAAAATGGAATGATGATGTTCGAGTAGGTCAATGAATTATAGTGTGGATTATGATCATAGTGATAGTGAAAATTTTTTTTCTTTCTGAATGATGAGGCATCTTTTGTCCATCTGTCTGTAAACAATGTCTTGTTCCTGTTATTTCTCCTAAATAGATTATAAATCATAGACAGTAGCTGTGTTAGTGACAATGGTATGGTCTAGATCAGAGCCTTGAAAAGGGAATCATTTTGTGGTAAATTTCCATTAATGAGTGTGAGCCAACAATGATCCCTACTGAAATTCAGATCTGCTCACAAGTATGGTCCAACAATGATCCCTTAAAATTCAGATCTCACAAGTATGGTCCAACAATGATCCCTACTGAAATTCAGATCTGCTCACAAGTATGGTCCAACAATGATTCCTACTGAAATTCAGATCTCACAAGTATGGTCCAACAATGATCCCTACTGAAATTCAGATCTGCTCACAAGTATGGTCCAACAATGATCCCTACTGAAATTCAGATCTCACAAGTATGGTCCAACAATGATCCCTACTGAAATTCAGATCTGCTCACAAGTATGGTCCAACAATGATCCCTACTGAAATTCAGATCTCACAAGTATGGTCCAACAATGATCCCTTAAAATTCAGATCTCACAAGTATGGTCCAACAATGATCCCTACTGAAATTCAGATCTCACAAGTATGGTCCAACAATGATCCCTACTGAAATTCAGATCTGCTCACAAGTATGGTCCAACAATGATCCCTACTGAAATTCAGATCTGCTCACAAGTATGGTCCAACAATGATCCCTACTGAAATTCAGATCTGCTCACAAGTATGGTCCAACAATGATCCCTACTGAAAAATTCAGATGGTCTGATCCCTACTCAGACACAAGTATGGTCCAACAATGATCCCTTAAAATTCAGATCTGCTCACAAGTATGGTCCAACAATGATCCCTTAAAATTCAGATCTGCTCACAAGTATGGTCCAACAATGATCCCTTAAAATTCAGATCTGCTCACAAGTATGGTCCAACAATGATCCCTACTGAAATTCAGATGTTCACAAGTATGGTCCAACAATGATCCCTACTGAAATTCAGATCTCACAAGTATGGTCCAACAATGATCCCTACTGAAAAATTCAGTACACAATGTACTGAAATTCAGATCTGCTCACCAACAATGATTACTGAAATTTCACAAGTATTTGATCCCTTAAAATTCAGATCTGCTCACAAGTATGGTCCAACAATGATCCCTACTGAAATTCAGATCTTCAGTATAATCTGATCCCTACACAAGTGCTATGATCCCTTAAAATTCAGAGCTCAGAAAAGGTGAGAGGAATGCCACTGACAGCAGAAGCATGGTGGAGATCCCTTAAAATTCAGATCTGCTCACAAGTATGGTCCAACAATGATCCCTACTGAAATTCAGATTGATTTCAACAGCCTATGACAGATCCAAAATGGATCCCTACTGAAATTCAGTAGGTTGATGATTTACAAGTATGGATTATGAAATTCATAGTGATATGAAAATTCTTTTTCCAACTGATCCCTTAAAATTCAGATCTGCTCACAAGTATCCAACTGATCCCTTAAAATTCAATTGTCCATCTGTCTGTAAACAATGTCTTGTTCCTGTTATTTCTCACTCCAAAAAGATTCAGATCTCACAGAGGTATGCTTAAAATTAGTGACAATGGTAATAGATCAGAGCCTTGAAAATTCAGATGCTCACAAGTATGGTCCAACAATGATCTCTACTGAAATTCAGATCTGCTCACAAGTATGGTCCAACAATGATCTCTACTGAAATTCAGATCTGCTCACAAGTATGGTCCAACAATGATCTCTACTGAAATTCAGATCTGCTCACAAGTATGGTCCAACAATGATCCCTACTGAAATTCAGATCTGCTCACAAGTATGGTCCAACAATGATCCCTACTGAAATTCAGATCTGCTCACAAGTATGGTCCAACAATGATCCCTACTGAAATTCAGATCTGCTCACAAGTATGGTCCAACAATGATCCCTACTGAAATTCAGATCTGCTCACAAGTATGGTCCAACAATGATCCCTACTGAAATTCAGATCTGCTCACAAGTATGGTCCAACAATGATCCCTACTGAAATTCAGATCTGCTCACAAGTATCCAACAATGATCCCTACTGAAATTCAGATCTCACAAGTATGGTCCAACAATGATCCCTACTGAAATTCAGATCTCACAAGTATGGTCCAACAATGATCCCTTAAAATTCAGATCTGCTCACAAGTATGGTCCAACAATGATCCCTACTGAAATTCAGATCTGCTCACAAGTATGGTCCAACAATGATCCCTACTGAAATTCAGATCTGCTCACAAGTATGGTCCAACAATGATCCCTACTGAAATTCAGATCTCACAAGTATGGTCCAACAATGATCCCTACTGAAATTTTGCTTTTACTGATTTTCGAATTCAGCATGAAGTCTTATTACGGTTACTTCTCTAAAATAGAGTTCTGTGGTGATAGAATTTCCACAACTGAAATGTGAATGTTCCTTCATGTAATTGAAATTTGGATTAGGATGGCTGCCATCTTGAAAAGCTTGTTCTAATTTCTCCTGAAATGATTGTTGTTTTGATATCAAACTTACATTAATGAGCTGAGTATTGTTCACAGATGTTCTAACTGAAATGTTGCCCCATGTCAGATTTAATATGAATGTCTTGACAACCATATAACAATACAAAAAGTTTGACACCATTAGAGCAACAGTTCCACCAGGAAAGATTGAAGTTTATAGCAGAAAACAGTATTTAGTTGTATAATGATAATATAGACTCTGAAGTTTCACTAGAAAAATAAACTTGATGTGAGTTGATTGGAGAGAGAAAGAAATGATATACATTGTATTACATTATATCAAAATTATATTATATTATATTATACATTATAATGTCTGTTTGTCTTGTCCAACATTTAATGTTGAGGAGCTTAGAAGTGTGGTCACTTTTTGATGAAGATTATCTCTTCAATGGAATGTTAAGCTTCAACACAGTTTTGGTCATTCTGGATTTGTTAAGTTTAGGTAACCATTGACTACAGAACCTGTAGTGGTACTTCATCACCAAAACAGTGTTAATGATCAGTAGATTGTGCAAGTGAACAAAAGTGAGTATTTGGTTGATAATATTTTCAATCCTTACAGAATCTGAAGCCGCACTACGACACCAACTCAGTGTTAATGATCCAGATATTTGGTGTAACCATCAAGTACAAGGCTTTAGCTGACCATAATTCTGCTGGCATTGTTAGAACTCTTCAGGGGGAGGACTTAGTGGTGACTGATGACCAGATCTTAGGCTGGACTGCCATGCCATTGTTTGAAGCGTAAGTCTGATTCACATATATAGATATGTATTAGATGTTATTAGTTTAGATCATGAGGTTTATTTACAGAAAGATGGGGGGAGGGGGAAATAGGAATGTTATCAAGAAGTTATGTGTTTAACCATTACTGTATATGGGGAAATGTTAGAAAGTGTTACAGCTTCGTAAGAAATAAAACCAAATTCAGTTTTGTGTAGCAGTTTAAATGTACGAGGGGTGGCAGATACCCATGGCATGATTTTCCTTTATTTTCTCTTATGCTTTAAGTTGAGTAATAACAGATAAAAGTCAGATGAGGTAGACCATATTTAGCTGGATATAAGATCTGATGGAACAAACAAGTGTTATATAAGTAACATAAGGTACTGGCACAAAGTTGAGTATTTCTACTCTAATGGTATTACTTCTGCTGACCTTTGCACTATTAATTGATTAACAACATGTGACGCTAGCTCTACATCAACAAAGATTGCTGACCATGTGGAAGTTAAAATCTGATTTGCTTGCTGTAATATCACCTTTAAATAATATACATGTACATTTCAAACTACATGTACATTTTTTGTATATAATAATTATTTTTTAAGAAATTAACATATAATAGTTTAATTCACTTGATTTGCTTTTTTGCCAATAGAGCAAAAATATAAGTTGGGCTAAAATTTTACATTTTAATTTAGGTAACATTCTTGTGTTTTGGTGTGTATTTACACTGAGCAGACAAGAACATTAATATGCAATGTCAAAAATAACCCACCTTAGGTAAAGTCTTCCTTGTTTACAATGTATACTTAATGTGCTATCTAACAGAAAATTTAGCAATGTTTTATTTTTAGGGGAGAAGGAGAGGTGGGAGTTTTAGGGGGAGTGGGGGGGGCAGATTTTGTGTTTTATTGAAATATGAACATCATGAAAAATTTTCATATTAAAGAAAAATGACATGTGCAGTACTTTGTTGTTTTTTTTGTTGTGAGTAGTGTATATATTAAAGTTTTGACAGTTTGAAGATGATATTTTGTTTATTGTATAACCTGTCACCTGTTTATCACAGGAATGCAGTACTGACAGGCGTACATGAGTTGCCAGTATTCCGAGGCAAACCTCCAGAGGGAATTATTGAATCCTTCAGTATTCATCCTATCAACGAAGTCATTGAGAAGTGGAAGTGGGACAAGAAGAGCTTAAGGATTGTAAGAATATATCTTTATTTTGCTGTATGTAAGTTGTCTCTAATTTCACATTGTGTATCTTTTATTCAAATTGTTTACGTAATACTATTTTCTGAAACACTGTAGATAACTAAATTTTATGGTGGGGGAGGAAGGGGGACCAATTGTTATTAGGATAAACCTTTTCCTTCTCTAAATGTCATAATATAGGTTTTTTTTTTATTGTAGCCTTGGACGAGCATGACTGTCACATTATGGGATGGTCATTATGACTTTAATGATCTCCCCTTCCTACCGGTAAGTACTGTTTATCTCCTCCAATGTTAAATATGCTTCATTCACGTCTCCTTTTCCAAAGAGATTCTTACTGTGAAATTTAAAAAGACTATTGTTCATGAATTGTAATTTGGCTGATAAAAGATCACAAAGGTAAAGAACCATACCTTAAATTCTTTTTCTCTGTACCAGTGAGAAATTATAACTAGTTAAAGAACAGAAATGATATTTGTTACCACTCTATGTTGTACTAACCTTATGCTATACAAAAGACCAGCAACAACCATTCTCAAGTACAAATGTTGAGTATTAGCACAAGTTACAACAATGATAACATGTATGGTCTGAGTATCAATTCTGACACTAAGGTGACCGCAATTAAACTCTCTGTCTGATAAGCCAGTCAGTCACTTTAAGATTTAACACAAATTATGTTCTACACTTGAATGACAAATTTCACCATTAACAATATTGATATAACATTTATCCTTATTCGGAGTGCTGAAACATTAGCCTTGAAGTTGCTGCATTTTTTGATACAGACATATGAAGATTTGCTGAAGATTGCTGGAAATTTGGAGGCCTACAAAAAGTCCAGAGAAAATCCAAAAGGCTCAAAGAATGTTTCAAGTCTGGTCCTTGAAGGTCTGGAGGGTCGCTATCGGCGCCAGGGTATAGAGGGAGAAATGTACCAGAAAGAAAAGGTCTTCTTCCAAGACCTCATGAACAACACTATGAGCTACTTGATTGTAAGTCTAACTTTCATATATATGTTAAACAAAAGTAATAGAATTAAGTGTGGAATGGGAAATAGATTTTTTTTTAAAGGGAGGGAGAAGTCTTTTGAATAATAGATACTTGTGGGTTGGGGGTTTAAGGTAGTTAGTGGAAAAGAGGAATGGTGGGATTGAGGAAACTCACATTAGGATAACTTTACTTTTATTGAAACTTGGATAATGAAAATTGGTGTATACACTGGTCATACTAAGAGGATGTACAGTGTATTAAATTAAGTGTCTGAAACAAATAATTACAGAGTTATAGTCCTTTGTTAAAATTTTGTGTCCAAAAAAGTTATTTACAGAGATCATTCATCAGATTCACTGATACTCTTGTTCTTCTCAACTTCCTTATTTTTCTGCTTCTTTCTGTTAAGCTTGATAGGAATTATCACAATGAGGAGTAATATTTCTCAGACATTTGGGCTGGACAATTATCTTTTATTTCTTTTACTAGTACATGTATTGGGTTTCTTTTTCAATGTGATATAAAGGGCGAGTGTATGTGTTTTCCATACAGTATACTATTTGAAACAGAAAAGATTTTGTTTTCAAAATTCTTTGTGCACAATTTCCCAATTTTGATCCCATTTCCAGGAACAATACACTACATCAGATACCAAAAAGTATTTTTAGACCCAGAAGGTATGGACTGACTCAATACTGCATGATTGTTGTTGTTGTGTAAATGTACTGATCAATATAATCATTAAAGACAGTGGGCTGTGTCATATTGGTCAGGTTGTTGGTAATGTCATTCATTGTGTAATAATTGTAACATCCATGTGCTTTTCATGTATGATGTGTCTGTAATATGTGCTTATAACATGACATTTTGCTTTGTAGATTGTTATAACAGGTGTTGTGTACTGGTACAATGGTACCTTGAAAGCCAAATTTGTTCATTTAATAACCTTAATATTATTGAAATTTTGTCATTAATTTATAAAGAAACATCAAGGCATGGTTTTAAAGCATGGTGTGTGCCAGCTTTTTGAGATCTCATCCAAAATTAGAGTAGAATTAACTAACTGTTGTCCTTCATCATGGCATTTCTTTACTTCACCACCTCGTGTCATTCGAAAAAATGAACTTGTTAGTGGTGCAGCCTTAATTACAGACCAGGTTTGTATTGTTAAACATATACAAGATGACTTTTTGAACATCTTTTGGTGACTGTGTTAATATGAAGTGTTGTCTTACTGTGTTTGTGCCATACAGCAATGGTACCTAGTAACTCCACAGCCTACTCCATCTGATGTAGAAACAAATGAGGACAATGATGGGATAACGCCTACCAGTGGTGACAACACTAAAACACATGTTGCTTAACCTGAATCTAACTCCACAGATCTGTATCCTGACAGTTCTCAAACACTGGCAGTAATGATAATACTTTAACACACATTGAAGTTATCCTCTTCACATCTAACCTGACAGATATGTAACCACAGTTCCCAGATAATTCTTACACAAAGTGATACACAAATATTGAAGTTACCCTCTCCACATCTAACTCTACAGATTTGTATCCACAGTTCCCAGATAATTCCCACACAAAGTGATACACACATATTGAAGTTACCCTCTCCACATCTAACCCCACAGATCTGTATAAACAGTTCCCAGATAATTCCTACAGAGAGTGATAAACACATATTGAAGTTACCCTCTCCACATCTAACTCTACAGATCTGTTTTGTTAACATGGTTGTGTTACTGATATTGGACCCACGATACTATGGTTTACTGTGACCTAGTTAAAGTTCACTGGGTTTTTGTGACTATTTTTTCTAATTATTTTGTATGGTTCAATGTTGTCTGACATGTTCCTTTTGAAGTGTGTTTTTTATGGTTTATAAATTCATGAGTGTGAAATATAGATATTATGACTTAATCAATCGTAAAATGTTGACAGTGCATTAAGTTGTCTTTAAAAAATCCCGTATCAGGGAATCTATTGTAAAAAATCATTTAATTTCAGTTATCTTTTTTTAATCATGCTTTCCTCTGTACACCATATTCAGCTGAGAACAGAAAATAATGTTTTACTATGATTTCTTCTTAGCAAGTGAAACTTAATAACAAATTCATGGAATGCATTGATATAAAAAAAATTCTTACCTGTACATATATTACTCATATTTAATTTAAACAACCTCAGACTCCTAACATTGGGTCCAGAGTGTTGATTATTACAGGAACAAAGGATATAACTGCAGTATCTACATTAGTGTGTACAGTACATTATGGCTAAGTGTTAATAATGCCAAGTTTTACTATTTATCAACAGGATGAGTACCTAATGGGAGAAGGTGAACCTCCTCTTTAACAAGACAACCTCATGCTCATTAAGGATTAGCCTCAATATGTCACATGCCCAATATGGATCAGTCTCAGTGTAGTATAACCTGATCAGGATCAAAATCAATATGGCAGACCCCCCAATCAGGATCAACCTCAGCCATGAGGTGACACCTTACAGGTCTCAGTAAAGTCCGGGAGTGGATATTGTTGGAATATTGCCAAACCAGTTTTTATATAATGACTTAAAGATGTAACAAAACTCCATGGATCTTTTACATGAACTATCAGCTAGATGGACCTTCAATGTTGCTGTGAAAAACCAAACTACCTATACCTTCATTACACATTTTTTACATCTTGTAATGATAAGGTAATCTGTATTGTTTATTTAACAATGTGCTTTTGTTGTAAATTTTGTGGTAGAAATACAATGTGCTTGTGGTAGATACACAAAGACTTATTTTCCAATATGATTGGTTTGTATAATTGTCTACATTTACGCATGGATTGCCTCCCCTGACATCATGATACGCACATGCTCATGACAAGATCCTGACTCCTTTGTCTCAGATCAGGGTCAGAGTTAAGCTTCCTGTCAGTGGAGGACTGCCTCTGTGAGGAGAGAACACATTAGACATCCTGTTTAGATAAAGCCCTTGTGCATAGATAAATGGGAAAGAGAACAAAGTAACTCTTTTGGTTTGTTATTTTGTTTACTTTTTTTTGTGAATGTTGTTGTAGCAGTGTCTTTAGTTTACTGACTATAATATAAATCTGAAATGTTCGTCAGATGTCAAAAATATTTGTAGATCACTAAATTTAGTTTCAGATATGTTTATATTTATTGCTGTGAAACATCATTGGTTAAAACATTTCTTTTTTAGAGCAGAGATTTTCAGTTGAGGTATTCAGACTCTGTTAAACAGTTTTGCTGGTATGAAGACTGACAAACCAAACTGTTTGATATTTAATGTTTCATTATATCATTAAAGTCACAAATGTTTCTTCAGAAAATATTGTATCTACCTGTAGTTAACCCAGCATGATGGGACTCAAATTCTTACAGTCAGGAGATGGACTTCAATATAGCACAATAATGATATGGAATGGTTTATTACCAGGCATTGTTTTAGATAAGGAATATCAAACGATAAAAGAAAATTTCTCGTCTTTGTTTCTCATTGATATATTTTATTTAAGGACCAAACGATGTGATTTTTATTACATTAATAGTTTCTGTGTTGTGATAAAAGTATGGTAGGATTGTGTTGTTTGAGGTGTGCTAAGATTACTAATTCATGTCTGGAGTTGCAGCTAGGTCTCTTTGACTTTTCCGTTCTAATGAATGGACATGAAAATTTGATGGAGAATGGGGGTACAAAGAAGAACCTGATTTAATTTGAGAATATCATTTAAGTACTGTTTATAATGTCAAAAGTTTATGTAACACAACATTACAAGTTGTAATACAAGTTATAACAACACAAATCTGAGGAAGCAGTATTTTGAGGAGTGATAGTGTCACCTGGTACAAACCCAGGAAATGTTTAAACTCAAATCAAGGAAACTTATTGTATTAAAATAACTACTTACTGTGTTCATTTTTCAACCAAGTATAATTTTCACCATACGTTAAGGTTATCTGACAGTTTTTGAGAAGAAGTGATTTTATACATATGTATTACTGTAGTAATTAAACTCCTGATAACTTGTTTAGATTTACTGCTATAGAACGTTGGTGTTATACAAACACTTACTTGGCTCATTGTAAAGACATCATATACCATTTTACACAAGTGTTACTGAGTGACTGTTATGTTTTCACCTTGCATCAGGAAAGATAGGAATTATTTAGAAGTTAGTTTGAAGTTAGTTTTCCTGAACATTCATTTGGATTTGTTTAGCTCTCCTAGTCAGAGGAACTGGTCTTGGCCCCCTGCAGTAGAAGGGTTCAGGGCCCAATATTAGAAAAGGAGCAAGTTGTCAAAAGTATTGTAACTATGATTGGATTTTGCCCAAATTTGGTCTGAAGCATCCTTGGGTGAAATGAATAAATTTTGTATAAACAGTGAGTCCTATCCTCTCTGAGGAGGGAGTAGTGGGGCCCAATATAGGAAATAGATCGAAAATCTTCAAGATGCTTTCATTTATAGTTTAAAAAAGTAACTTCATTAAACTAAACCAGGTGAGTGATACAGGCCCTGTGGGGTTTCATTTTTGCTTCCATTAAGTACAAATCCATTTTGTAAATAAATGTAATTGTATTTACCGCCTGATCTTCTTTTTATAAAACAGTTGAATTATAAACAAGATGTTGTTAGAGAACACTCTGAACTGTATTAACTTATTAGTACATGTATAATTTACCATTTACATTTCACAAATTTACCATTTACTGTTATAATGTTGCTGTGAAGTTTATTGTCTAACATGTACATTACTATTGAGTGTGTTGATAATGTCATTTGTGTCATTTCTGTCACTAACATCTATTTTGACAAAGTCGAGGACTTAAAGCTATAGATGATAGGTTTACAAAGATAGTCACTATAACCACAACATCTGAGTGCCATCAGTTAGGTACATTACATAGAGGTGATGTATAAAGAATTCCATTTGTGTTTATATATATATATATATATATATGGAACAGGTAGAATCTCACCTGTACAAAGTAGTGGAATAAAATCACTTTTGTAATAAAACCAGGCTTTGATATATTTTTTTAAATATGAAGGGGACTCAATTTTGCATAAATGGTGGATCTCTGCACGATATGGTCAAACATGGATATAAATTATTTACAATTGTTCTTTTTCTGAAGGAATATTTAAATTCTGTCTCAATTTAGACTGAAGAATAATAGAGTGAAGGGATATCAATTTTGTATAAACAATGGGTCTTGTCCCTTTGGAGAGACCAGGCCCAATAGATGCAAAAACATCCTTCCATACCAATGGTCAGATCATGTTTAAATGGTGGGTCCCAGACCCCTGAGGCCAGAGGGGCATGACCCACTATAGGATAAGGAGCAAATTATTGAATATCTTTTTCCTCTGAAGGAATGTCAGAATTCTGTTCCAGTTTTACCTCAGCATCCTGGGATAAAAGGTATTGTGGTAGTTTGTTACCCCTGAGGGAGAAGGGGTGGGGTTCAATAGGGGAACTGAAGTAAATTCTTTGAAGTCGTGTAGGAATGTCTGGATTCAGGCCCACTTGGGTCTTATGCAATCTTGGGTGAAAGAGACATATATAGATGACTTTAATGACCCCTGGTGGCCAAATGGTGGAGGTCAACGAGGTCACTGATACAGTATATAAACCTGAAGAACTCTCTTTCCTTTAGTTTGCTTAAAGAAACATCGGCCAAACAAAGCCAGGTCAGCAATAAAGGTCATTATGGCTCTTTGCTATTAATATGTGATGGATTATCTTGAAAAATTGAGCTTTGGTGAAGTCACAATGGTAATAATAATTTTGTGGGTTAATCCACTAAATAGATGGTTACAAGTATCAATTTCATGATAAGCCACTATCTCAGTTTTGATTTCAAGAATCTGAAACCATATATTCTCTACAGGACAGAGAAATTCTGTGTATATGCCTCAACTATCCATAAGGAAGGTGCCATGATTTTAAGTATATTGTGTTCAGGACAACTTAATAAATTTTGATATGTTGGTGTCAAATGTTTAATTGTATGGGTTACAATCGGTACCAATCACTGTCCAGAGAGATTATAAATTGCATCCAATGAACACTTATTGTTGATGATAACTGGTTGATGGTACCATAACGACACTTTAGGGCTTCAAGATATCTGTCAATAGAGCAGACTTCGAGAAAAGATGGGAAGTTTGTGTTTCTTAGGAAGCCGAGACCATGGACCATTCTGTGCTGACTTGATTACATCCAAGCCGAGACCATGGACCATTCTGTGCTGACTTGATTACATCCAAGCCGAGACCATGGACCATTCTGTGCTGACTTGATTACATCCAAGCCGAGACCATGGACCATTCTGTGCGGACTTGATTACATCCAAGCTGAGACCATGGACCATTCTGTGCTGACTTTGTTACGTCTAAGCCGAGACCATGGACCATTCTGTGCTGACTTTGTTACGTTTAAGCCGAGACCATGGACCATTCTGTGCTGACTTGATTATGTCCTTAAAATTCTTCGCCCCAGTTTGACTGGATTGGCAGCATTTGATGTCATGCATGATGTTCATTGAGTTGACTTGCTCGCAACTGACCCTGACTGATCAAAGGGAGATAAATCCACCAAACAATGACACTACATTTCAGAATACAACACATACTGAATATATATTTAGTCTACAGACTCTTTATTTCTCTAATGGTCCCTCTCATATATATATATATAGACTTCAAAATCAAAACACTGCTTGGTATAACAGACAATAAGTTCAGATTAGAATTGACCTTATTCACAGCATTAACTCAAAATGAAGCACTTAACTGTACAAAATGGTAGGTACAGGCATGATTTATGTTATAACATCTTAAATTTCCTGACTAATATTGTAACATATTAACTTATCTAAGAGTTACATTACATCATATTTTTTTTCTAAGTTATATAGAAATAAGACAAAACTATCACATCTGTCATTTTCTTATTTCAATAATCACTTTATGAAGAGTTGCAAAAAAATATATAATTTATCCGAATTAGTCACATGATAAAGTAAATTAATAGAAAAACTTTCAAACTGATAATGACTTTATATCTTTCTGGTTTACTTTTAATGCATGCACTTTGATACAAGTTTCTAACCGATGAACATCTTCATGTTACTTCAGAGGAAGATTGGTACAGCCTTAACAAGGACATATGGTATGACACTTTCCTCAGTTTAAGGAAAACTGAATTACATTGTGGATTGGAAGAAGTAAAATTTGCTCTCAACTTACATGTAAATGTATTGTTTGATGGCACAATTTGATTGTGACAAGAAAAAAAGGAACATTTAACTGTAAAACTACAGTCAGTCGACACCTACACAGCACCATTTCCTGTTGAACATGACTTTAGATTTATCTCCATTCCAGAAATATTGAATATCATTATCATATAATGGATATAAAATAATTCCTCATTACATGTTTCCCACTGAAATAAACAGAAAAAGTTGCATTGATATACCTGTGTGTAGGTTAACATGATTACACATCTCTATCAAATAAGACTGACAGAATCAGATCAGGAAATGTATTTTGTGTGTATGATTGCTAGGAAGTAATCAACATCATTCCTCAACATCACAATCAGATCACAAATATAAGCACATTTGAATTCATTTATTGCAAATAGGTAAATTGCACAAGATAAAAACCTAACATAAAGATGTAAAATACCAGGAACCGAATCAAAAGCACAAGAAATGAACACGCTCTTGTAACCATGGCTATTTCTGCGAACATTAAACTTCTCCTTCAGCAGCTTGTACATATAAAGAATAATAATTTATCCTGATTGAACCTCCGTCTCTATAGCAAGGTATTTGGTGCTGTAAGTCTCTATAATTGATTGCTAGAAAGTCCCTAAAATATATAACATCAATATATCAAAACTCTTGAAATCACAAAATATAGCTCCCCCTGGTTGTCACTAATGATTAAATACAGCCATAATGGTTAGATACTAGTGGCTCCCCCTGGATGTTCATCAGAACTACATTTAAATGCTACAATAACAGATGAGATACATACTACAGTGGCTCCCCTTGGGCTCTTTAGAATGGCTACTCCTGATTCTCTAAGTATTGAATACATCTCAGCAGTAACAGATCCAGCAGCCACAGCTTAAAGTTTAGACACTACACCGACTCCCTTCTCTCACCACCCCCACCCCCACCCCCTCTCCTTTCCCCCCAGTGGATCCCTTGAATTCTAATGTTAATTCAAAATCATATATACATACAGCAACACAAACATCTTACATCCTCTGACTTTATCACTCTGTTAAACAGCCATCACATTTTTGGAAAAAAAGACTTGACATAAACAGAGATTTATCTGATTTTTTTCAAGTCCTGTTTGCACACATCTTCCCCAAACACAATTTGACATGGACAGAGTTGCCAATTTTCCCAATTAAATTTCACAATTAAATGTGAGTTTCTTTTTTCAGCCTCCCTTCCCTGTGGCTCAATTATATTGATCTTAATCCCGAAAATCTTCATATTTTGGGAACTCTCTTTGCCACCTTCTGTGACAGGAGTGTAATATCACTGAGTTTAAGATAATTGTTTTCTTTTTTTTTCTACTTACCTCACTTAAGTTTTCAGGAGATTTAGGAAAGGGTATAATGGTTATTCTCATTGACCACTGAAATTTACAATCATTTTTTCTCAATTTATATGAAACAGTTATTGTAATAAATACATACATTTGTACTGAATTTCACATAAAACTCTGGAAATCAGTGTTTAAGGTAACACTGTAGGTCTCCTCAACCATCTGCCTCTAAGGCATTGTTTTAAAGAAACTGAAAGCAGCACATATTCCAGTTATCTGCCCCTTGTGGCCACATTGACATGACTGTTAAACAAAATAGATGTGTAATCACAACAGGAAATTAAACAATATACATCCCACAACTCACTGGAAAGTTGAGTCAAAGAAATACATGGATTTCAAAATTAATATAATACACAGTAAATATATGAAAAGAATTAAAATATAATTATCTAACAAAAATATATTAATAACAGTTTAACAAAATATATAGAAGATGAAAAATTCCTGACTTGATAGCCAGCGATATGTGCATACACAGCAAACAAAGACTGTTATGGTTTACAATTGTTGATTGACATGTTGTGGTTCTATATCTCAGAAAACATCAGATGTATACAAGTTATCAATGTAGACATTCCTAACATGTCACTGAAATAATATCAATAAAAGTTCAATAAGACTAAATAATGTTTCTAATTTCTGATGTTATCAGGTAGTTGATGTATAAAGAGATAATACTCTCTTGCCTGAGAGGTACCTTGAATTATTTGCTAGGGCGTTTTCAGTTATATAGACATTAAAACAGTTTGACAACTTCTTCAATGTTTAAATATGGAATGTTGTAACAGTTAATTCACCTGTAGATCTCCTAGAGAAAAAAATCAAACAATTAGTTTGGGATTTACTTGAAAATAATTTTATGCTGTACATTCAAATGGATAAAGAAATTAAAAATTTTACTAAAAATTCTAAATTTTTGTGGTTTTTCATTTTTATGATTTTATGCTTATTCTTAATCCATGAGGTTACATGTCTACAAATCAACAAACATGTTGTTATAGATATGACAAAAACCTTTAGTATTAGACTAAGAGGATTTAGTCAGTACCATTTATCCATATGGAATTATACAGCGATTTTGATTAAAGTCAAGTAACCAACATATTAATGTTATCATACATCATGCTTCCTTATAGACGCACCAATACTATTTTACTTTATAAATTGTAACAGTTTTAAGACAAGAGATACACCTTCAGTTGTAACTAATGACAATTATACTTTAAGACTTCCATTAAAAGGAGTTTTGGCCAAACACACATTACTCTTTCCTCCCTCAGAGATTACAACTTGAATTAAACCAGTCCTTTGTTTAAGTTTGTTTTGTCTCAGAAAAGATTTCTAGTTGATTTAAGACTGTTATTTATAACTGACAACATGATAGTTCACTAGAGTTATAAGAATTACAGCTGAGTCAGCAAAACAGAAAATGGGACTGGAAATACCCCAGTATCTTCAACATAACCATAATATCACTTAGTGATTTAGAAAATATAGCAGAACACAGTTAAACAAATCCAACACTTTACACCACAGCTTCATATAGCAGTGTTATCATAGACCACATTACAAGGTTTAAGGTCTGAGAATGTTAAATAAAAATATTCATGTAATATATATATCCAGTAATAAGCCAATGTTTGTTAATAAGCCCATCCAAACATTGCTTCTCACAGCATGATTACAGGTAAATGCTTTAAGAAAATGTTGCACATTTTTCATTCATACGTACAGCACTTGTACAAACATTCATGTGAAGCACTCATTTTCTTCAGTTATCACTTTAAAACAGTTGAGCACTAAGATTATTGCAACATTTTTATACCATATTCAATCACAAATAGTTACCCCTTCACTTCTGTTCCATAAATAGCAAAACAGCTGTCCATCCAGATTTACCCATACACTTGAAGACAAAAAAGTACTTGAACTTGAACCCAGCACTTTATAAAAAGGATTACCAAAACTCATTACCCAAACTCTTATACATAAGAATTAACCAAACATCTACACACCAAACATACAAAAGGAAATACTTATATACACAGAACACTTATACATGTCAGGAATTACCCACACACTTATACATGTCAGGAATTACCCAAACACATATACATGTCAGGAATTACCCAAACACTTATACATGTCAGGAATTACCCAAACACTTATACATGTCAGGAATTACCCAAACACTTATACATGTCAGGAATTACCCAAACACTTATACATGTCAGGAATTACCCAAACACTCAGTTGAATAACAGGAACAAAAACATGACCTTTCATCTAGAAATGGTCTTGGCCCTAAACAAGCTAATTGTAGAGAGTTGTAAAACAAAACATTCAGACCTGACCATAGATCATAGGTGACTCAGTTTCCTAATGAGGTAATATATAGGTGACCAATCACAGGTGTTATAACCTGTAACAGGTGACCTATCACAGGTGTTATAACCTATAACAGGTGGCCTACAGGTGACATAACCCATTATATGGGACCTATTGGGGACATTACCATTACAGGTGATAACCTATTACATGTGACCTATTACATATGATATAACCAATTACTGGTGACCTGCAATTGACTCGACCTTGAAACGACCTGTATGAACGGTTTTATATATCAAACACAAAAAATCCTCAGTTGAAGAAATTTCCGAAGAACCAACATCCTGCTGAGTTCATATATGTATCGAGGTTCATTTTCTGGGTTTCAGGAGGATACCTAGTGGTATACGGCTGTTTCTTAAAAAGTAGTAAAAACTCAAAAATAAAAAAGAAGGGCAACAACTCCTGAAGCCAGGTAGACCAATAGTATATTCTACTCTCTTCTACAGCAACTGGTTACCCTTCTTTTTCAATTTTTTGATTTTCAAATATTCTGTATATCAAATGTTCCCTCTGGTTCAAAATTCATGACCCCAAATATAAACATTTATCTACACTCATCACAAAGTCTTACCTCATTAGCATCAGATAGTAGACATATTGTGACAAAGCTTACATACAATATAAACAACAGTTCTGACACTAGAGGGGTTACAAGGTTGTGTGCAGCACCTCCATTAAGTACTTATTCTACTCTACCAAGTCCTTGCTAGCTGAAATCTGAATCAGTCTGTCTTCCAGATTTTGTTGAAGAACTCCATGAAGGAGTCGTAGATCATAAATGTGATGGCCACATCTAGGCATACTCTACTCAACCTTGGAATAGTTCCTTTATAAAATCTGAAACATATTTCAAATACAGTAAGGACAGTGTAAAATGAAAAAACAAATAATTTGTGGTCAAATTAATAAGCTTTTGTTTTTCATAATTTCCTGACATTTTCCGTACAAAGTCCATCATAATGGCAAGGCAATTTTTCCCCTTTGCAACAATAGGTCTCACATAGTACCATAAGGTAGAATAATTACAATAAAACAGAGAATGCAGCTTTTTATTAAATTTTCAAAAAAGTGTTCATCATAAACAGCTAATTTGTTACACATACCTGATAGCCAAATATTAGCAATTATCATACATAAGGATGATAATGGCAGTGCGTTATATGAAGTATAAAGTTGCTTTTTGTTCACTTAATATAGGTAATTAATTGCTAACAAATACACCCGTACCTATTTTTTTATCACATGATCAACATTTACAATAAATTTCTAGATCTACATTACATATTTTATCAAAATAATATCCGAAATAATTATCTGTCACATGAAACAACATAGACACTTACGCTCTAGGTCCTTCGTGTTTGTAAATCTGAACTGCACAATCCCAAGTGTTCTTGTACTTATGAGCATCAAGGCCCTGAAACATACTTGTTATTTTTAGCAGAACAAATGTTGAATAGCTGTTTAATGATGCATTCTTACTCCATTTCTTTACCTAGTAGCTTTATTACAAATTTTTATGTAGACCACGGGAAACCTGTCATAGGAGTTAAAACTTCATATCTGATAAACATACAATGTTTTTGTATAAACACTTCAGTATGTCACTCAGTCACACATGCTATATATAAAGTTATTCTATTGGAAAACATCAATGCCAAAACTTATATTAATGATAATTTGAATTACAAAAGATGGCTTAAGTGACAAAATTAGTTTGAATTATTCATGTTACATTATATACAGTCAGTATAAGGACATATGGACTGTCAATCAATACAGAGCTGACAAGTTGAGTTATTGCATCTTTTTATCAAATTTTTCACTAAAAATATTAGCAGATTAAAACTTTAGACATTGACTTTCAAAGTGAAACTTAGCATTTAAAGAAATTTTTGTAAAAAAAACATTGAAAATCAATTAGGAAACCAATTCTAGTTTTGATAACATATTATATTCGATCCTACCTGTATTGTTTCCAAATCATAGTATTTGTATTCTCCTGTAATCTAGATTTGTCATTCATTTATACCCCATTCAAGGAGACTTTAACAATCTCTGATAAAATAATAGGTATATTCCAGTATTACAGCATTAATCTTTTCTCAGATAAAATGTAATGGTATATTCCAGTTTCCTACCTGTAATCTAGTTTTGATAACATCAATAGGTATATTCCAGTATCCTACCTGTAATCTAGTTTTGATAAAATCAATAGTATATTCCAATATCCTACCTGTAATCTAGTTTTGATCACATCAATAGGTGTATTTCCAAACACAGAGGCAGCTCCAGCTACAGCACCAAATGTCCCGACCACTAAAGTGGGTACTTTAACATTTGGATCACCTTCTCGGTACCAGTTCTTTAGCGTCTCCATAACAAAAAAGCGTATAGCCTGGTTACTTCCTTGTTTAAGAATGGTGGGAGTAAGGCCTTGCCACAGTGAAAGAAAACCTAAATTCAAATTGAACAGAAAAAGAATATAGTGATTATTGAATTGAATATCAATAAATTAAATAAGTTGAAATTATAATTAATTTCTATATAAATTCTACAAGTGTTACATCATTTATCCTACTGTTATAGGCCCCAGGGCCCAGGACACAGCCTGAAGCTTCGATTACTTGGTACGGACTTACTACCAGATAGATATGGAAATTAAAACACCATTAGTTTAGACAGCATGTTTACTGACTTTTTAATAAATCTTACCTAACCATGACCACACAAGTCTGTAGAGCAAGGTAGCTGAGGATTAAAGTTTTTTCATATTTCTGGTAAATTACAAGAAGCATATTTATACAAAGCCTCCATCTTTAAAAAAATATGTTTTACAACTTGAAAAGAATAATATTTGGAATATTAAAACTAAATTCTTCATAAAAAGATTCCTATCTTTTGACTGTGCCACAGCTGTAAATAGTAGACACTATTTTTGTTATTAAGACATCAATGTCTGTTTACTGTGTTGCTGCTGTAGACACTAAACACAATTTTTTATAACACCTCTGTTTATAAATTTTCATACAGCTGTAAATACACCTGTGTCTAAAGACTGTGACACTGCTGTAGACAGCAGACACTATTTCATTATTTAGACACCTGTGTCTAGAGACTGTGACACTGCTGTAGACAGCAGACACTATTTCATTATTTAGACACTATTTTTAACTATTTAGACAGCAGACACTATTTCATTATTTAGACACCTGTGTCTAGAGACTGTGACACTGCTGTAGACAGCAGACACTATTTCATTATTTAGACACCTGTGTCTAAAAGACTGTGACATTGTTGTAAACAGTAAACACTATATTTAACTATTAAGACACCTGTGTCTAGAGACTGTGACACTGCTGTAGACAGTAGACAGTATTTACTAGACACTATTAAGACACCAATTTCATTATTTAGACACCTGCCTGAAGACTGTGACACTGCTGTAGACAGTAGACAGTATTTACTAGACACTAATTTTATTATTTAGACACCTGTGTCTAGAGACTGTGACACTGCTGTAGACAGTATTTACTAGACACTATTTTCATTGTTAAGACACCAGTGTCTGTTGACTGTGACACTGCTGCAGACAGTAGAAACCTACCATATGTCCTGATGATTTGACTACAGCCATTGAAGAATCCTTTGAAGCGAGGGTTGGCTGATGTCTGATCATTAATAAATTTGACCTTGAGTGTTTCCATAGGGGTCACTGCCAGGATTGCCTCACACACACCAGCACCTTTAATAAATCAGCAATAAATGGATCATTTTGACAAGAACTTACTCAACATTAGCTAGATCAATGAGTGGTAAATTAAACTGCTGTAAAACCAAACTTTAACCATCCTTTATTTAGATTGTATAAAATGCATCTACTTAGAGGGTAAGATACACAGCCTGCCTGAGCAAGGATTGAACCATACACCTCAGATCTTCACCTGAGAAACACAAGTTCATGCAGGATATTCTCTGTTCATTATAACTTTGATCAAAAGTCACATCGAGACAGAATGCCAGAGGTAAAGAAATGGGTAACACTTTACAGAATTATCAAATAAAACTGCAAGGATTAAAAACAACTCTCATTAACATAACTTTATATTTGTCCACTAGAACAGCTGACTTACCCATTCCACATAAAGCTCTCTTTGACGGAGCCAAATTTCCTTTTTCATCTACATTTAGACTTTTAAATTGTTCAAAAGCACCAAACCTGGAAAAGAAACAGCTTACATATTACTTATCAGAAGAAAACAAATGATGAAATTATCAGAGAAAATTATTTGATCTTTATTTTTCATTTACATGTTTTTTTCACAATTCACATCACAACATACAATACACTTCAAAAAATTAAAATTACTAAAAAAAATGAAACCAAATGATGAGTTCATATCAATTTAATTTCAAATATGTATTGTGTCGGATTTTGTACTTTTTGATAATTTGTCTGAATATTTTACATCTGCTGGATGCTGCATCTAATTAACAAGGAGCCGGAATATTTTGTCCACATTTAAATTTGCAATAGTATATAATAAATTTTAGTATTGTTAGAATATGGAAGGTACAACCATACTGATAAGAATAATTGTAACGGTGTTATCGATGTGGTCTGATAGAGCCAACACCTTACACAACCATACCCAATACACTAAACATTGATCGATAATACACCCACCTTAGGACATGTCTAACACAATCAATGATCCAGACTGTTGGATGTTAATGCCCGCTAATTAGAAAGTATTCATGCATTAATCTTTCATATCCTGATAATCAATTTCTCTCTTTGTAAAATGTCAATAACTGTGTGGGTTTTAAGAATCAGACCAAAAAGAGTCTGTGAGCTTTGTCTAACAGTAGTTATTGATTTATCTCATATGGTAGTAAATCAAGATTACCAGAAATAACACTTTCTCCAAACCATTGAGCTGTTAAACACAAACAATTTTCATTACCACTGAGTTCAGTAAAGTGTCTTAACAGTCACCAAAGTCCTTTACCAAGAGGCCAAATGGTCTTAACGATCACCAGAGATCTACAACAAGAGGCCCCAGGCCCTCATCAATCACCCTAATTCAATAACAGTATGCCCCATGTCTAAATAGTCACCAAGTTCTTTGACAAGAGGCCAAAGGGTCTTAATAGTCACCAAAATTATAAAACAAGAGGCCAAAAGGTCTTAACGGTCACCACATTTCTGTGACAAGAGGCCCAAGGGTCTTAGTGGTCAGCAGAGTTCAATGACAAGAGGCCCGAGGGTCTTAACTATCACCAGAGTTCTAAACAAAGAGGCCCAAGGGTCTTAATGGTGACCATAGTTCTATGACAAGAGGCCCAAAGATCTTAATGGTCACCAGAATTATAAAACAAAAGGCACCAGGGTCTTAAATGTCAGCAGACTTCTATGACAAGAGGCCCAAGGGTCTTAACGGTCACCAGAGTTCTATGACAAGAGGCCCAAGGGTCTTAACGGTCACCAGAGTTCTATGACAAGAGGCCCAAGGGTCTTAACACTCACCAGAGTTCTACACTAAGAGGCCCAATGGTCTTAATGGTCACCAGAGTTCTATGACAAGAGGCCCAAGGGTCTTAGCTATCGCCAGAGTTCTACACCAAGAGGCCCAAGGGTCTTAACGGTCAACAGAGTTGTGTGACAAAAGGCCTAAAAGTTCCTACCTTACAGCAGACTTTGGTATAGAGCCTGCCAGTAGCACACTGAGGCCACGGTATAAACCTCGCACACCATGTTCATTAACTGTGACTGTTACACAGTTGACTGGTCCACTGTAACGCTTCAGTGCCCCTGACCGTTCATCAAGTTGCAGTTGTGTCTTGACATACTCTGTAGGGAATGTAATACAGATCTCTAATCCTCCAGTGATCCCTCCTACAAAACAAACACAATCATTTTAGTCTGAAGTTTGCAGGTACATATTATATCTAAACAATACAATATGGCAAATTATAGTCCCATACTGAATGTGAAATTATATGTGAAGCATGCACAAAAGATGTATTCATGCTGGTCTAATTCTACGCAGTGTTTGACAGATCCACAATTTTAATAAGGAATCTTGTTACTTTCACAAATAAATTGGCTGGATGTCTCTGATAAGTTCTGCTGTCTTACTAGTAAATCACATCTAGTGACATCCTGTATTGCATGATGATGCTTCATTATTTAACCATTGCTATAGAAAAATGTAAACAAATTGACAGAAAATCATCAACTTCAGTTGGTGATATCAGTCTGCTTATACAATATAAAATGATATAACTTATTTGAAGAGGTTCTATCCATTATTTGAAACATTGAATGGTATCAACCATTCCCAGTTACATCAAAAGTGAGAATGTAACTCACAGTGAACAAAGTAGGTCAAAGGTCACAGTGACCTACTTTGTCATACTTTGGTTCATGACACTGCCTCACTTAGATGAACTGATGTCCCATGTATAAAGTTGCCAGACAAGGTAAAGTGTAGAAGGATGTAAGGGAGAGAGATTGAGCCCAGACAAAAAAAAGGATGGAAGTACCAAAACAGAAACCAAAAGTCCCTTCCTTGGTTGATAGTCGGGGACTAATTACCAGGAAAATTAATGTAGTCTTAAACCCAAAAAGAGATATTTTTTCATAACTCTGTTTAACTTAGTTTTTTTCTGAAGGCAGGCATAGCTGATTCTATATTCAGATCATAGTCCATATCTATGTATCTAAGACATAATATTAACAGTGTTCATGTCATGACATTATTCCAGAGTTCTTCAGAATCTCCTGTCGTCTCTTTCCCAAAATTTATTTAGGTGAATTTCTAAAGTTGCTAGAATTGGTGCTTGAATCATGTTCTCCTCCTTTAAATCACATTCTCCTTCACTTTGCCCTACAGCACTTCAGGTTAAAATTGCACCATGCCAATCTATAGTTGTGTGACACTGACCTTCAAAGACTAAAATATACCACCAATCTGGGTAGCTGACCCCTGGTCCATGCTTGACCCTTGTCATATAAAACACATGTCTGACACATCCCATATACTTCTTTAAAGAATATTTATTGACAGTCGAACTTCAATAGCAGCAGGAGGGACAGTATTTTAACCCTCCAGTCTTCAGGCAAAATTGCTCCTTCTCAAAGCAACATATTAACAAGTATAAGCTCCCTTCAGTGATCTTTGTACTGTATGCAGGGAATCTCATGACACAATCATTTTTCAACTGTGTCTCTTTCATCAGTCAAAAGGTGAATATTAAAGACAAAATATTTTTAAGGTGCATACATTTATATATACTATAAATGCCTTTGAAATTGAGTGAAGTTACTACAGGGCTACACTAATGTTTCTTCTATTATCACATACATATTTCTTGTAATACAATATATGTGCTGAAATAGTCTTTCGACATACTACTGTAATGAAACTTGTCAAGTTATAATATGTAACTTGTAAATTTCTAACATTATAAAATCAATACTAAATATAGATTATTCCCCAAACATTTCTAAATCATTCTTCTGCAGAATATATAGTTTCCCCACTCTTAGCATTCAGTCTAGCACAACAGCATCAATACAATCTGTTAGACGCCATTATTTACTTTGCAGGGGACAGTTTCCCAACAAGAGGTAAAAGTGTGCCCCTTTTTACTATCACTGCAGCCATTTTCAGTGCATGCTTGTCGTAATTTACAACATAATGAGGTATTGATTGGGTTGTATCCATCACTGTCTGTAATAACGAAACCAATTTGATGTCCTTTGATTCTGTATAAATCTCTCTAAATCCAATAATGAGCTGAGCAACAAACCTTAAGAGTCCAACGAAAGACACAGAACACATCAAAGGGTCTAGGTTTTCCCACTCTACCACCCCTGTATATATACAGACATGGCTGATACAGAACACATCAAAGGGTCTAGGTTTTCCCACTCTATCACCCCTGTATATATACAGACATGGCTGATACAGAACACATCAAGGGACTAGGTTTTCCCACTCTACCACCCCTGTATATATACAGACATGGCTGATACAGAACACATCGAAGGGTCTAGGTTTTCCCACTCTACCACCCCTGTATATATACAGACATGGCTGATACAGAACACATCAAAGGGACTAGGTTTTCCCACTCTATCACCCCTGTATATATACAGACATGGCTGATACAGAACACATCAAGGGACTAGGTTTTCCCACTCTACCATCCTTTTATATATACACTTTACCACCCTTGTATATATACAGACATGGCTGATACAGAACACATCAAGGGACTAGGTTTTCCCACTCTACCATCCTTTTATATATACAGACATGGCTGATACAGAACACATCTAAGGGTCTAGGTTTTCCCACTCTACCACCCCTGTATATATACAGACATGGCTGATACAGAACACATCAAAGGGACTAGGTTTTCCCACTCTACCACCCCTGTATATATACAGACATGGCTGATACAGAACACATCGAAGGGACTAGGTTTTCCCACTCTACCACCCCTATATATATACAGACATGGCTGATACAGAACACATCGAAGAGACTAGGTTTTCCCACTATAAAGGTCCAACATATATTCAATCATCTTAGAACATTTTTTTCTTTCATTGTTTTAAAGCAGATACTTCTCAGCATATGAAATCATATTTATTATGTAACAGTATCTCTGTATAGTTAGAAGCACCAAAGCTGGATTTTCTCTCTACTTTTCTCCCTGGTCTCCCTAAGAAGTTACGGTATACTACACAAGCCCTCCTTCCACAGTAACATTGTTACATACCCTTGGGTGATTACAGCTGAACTAATAGTAACCTGGAATCTGTGACATTTGACATTGTACACTTACAGTGCCGATACATTTCAACTCACTCAAGTGATACCCAGTGGTATTGATCATTCAGAAAGCCAGTGAACATCCTAATACCTAGTTAGCACTGACATATTTCCTGTAAATAGACCTACTATAGAAATTCATTCTCACAGTAAACAAACCTCTGATGTCGTGTAATTTCTATAACTATGTATACAGTAATGTTCTGCCATGATAGCCAAACTTCACCGTTTTATGAGTCTATCTTCTTTATTGTTAAAGCTAACATAGAGCATCTTCTCTTTTGATACACATTTCAGCTACCATCTGATCCAGAACATTTTTGAAGCAAATATTCCTAGATTCCAAAGTTACCCTTTGAACTAAAATCCAATAAGAATTTGACAGTTAATCAGGCTTGCAACCCCCCCCCACCGCCCCCCCCCCCTAAATTTGGTTCACTGCATGTGATCTTAGTATGATCAATATACCAACAAGGTTTAATTATCCTAGTTTAAATGCAAGCAAATTAAAGTTGTGCTCTAGACACAAAATTTTAACAAAGGACAGTAGCTCTGTAATTATAGAGTTGCAGACCCAGGATTTTGTACACTGCACCACGTCTTAGTATGATCAATGTATACACCAAGTTTTGTTATCCTAGTATAAATGCAAGCAAAGTTACACTCCGGACACAAATTATTTTAACAAAGGGCAGTAACTGTAATTGAGGGGTTGAAGGCCCTAAATTTGGTTCACTGCACATCCCCTTAATATGGCCAATGTATATACCAAGTTTCATTTAAGGTCTCTCCTAGAAACTACAACAGTCTTGAATGATGCTTTAAGGAATATGAGTTTCCATAAAAGGTTAAAATCAGAACCATATCTAAAATTCAAAATACATACTACAGATCAGCTTAAATTTTTACACCGGAATAAATTGTACACATCAATTTAAAAAAATATTCTGATACAGACGTTCTAAATTGATCTTATATCATTTGTAAGATTTAATGTGTAACATAACAGTTATTGATGACAAAATTACGTTTTTGTATGCTGTATCTATTAAACATTACGTATAACAAGTCGAGGGACAGGTATGTTGTGTTAAATATCAGGATCATAGTGTCTAATACATATAGTTCCTTTTTTATGTGCATGTAAATACAATTCAGTGTGATTTTCTATAAACCACAGCTCAGTAGAAGTCACTCGGATATGTAGTCTGTCTAGAGTACAGTATGTATAATACAATGCTACAAACCACCCACTACATGTCCTGAACTGTGACTAATTATAAGAGTTTTTCTACTATAGGTCTGTATAGGCTCATTAGACATGAAGGCTGTCAGGAGGTGTAATTTAGGTAACTGCTAAGTGGAATGTAAAATACAGCCGGCTTCTTGTATTTTTCATTGTATATAAAAAACATCAAACAGTGCTAGCTGTTCTGTGAGTGTTGTCTACCACTACCGACATGAGTACATAATTTATAAACCTCAGAAATAATTCTATTTTAAAAGATCAGAATTATACCTGTATAACTTGTGTTAAAGAACTGAGGAAAACACATTCCTGGTGAACAACCAGATAGGAACCAAACTCGGGTGTTCCTCCACATAAACTAATCAATGACTACACTGACTGAAGAGGTTATATGCACAGTCATCAGAGTGACACAGTGTATTTAATACTATGTACCTTACTTCCCTAGTTTTCTTGAGATTTCTAAAATCTCAGTCAGAAATTCTAAATACCACAAACCATGGGGTAACTTTGGGAACCAATGTGAAAAAATGGGGAAAACACTTTTCTGTCAAGTGCCCAGACATGGATTTCCAACATAATAATCTAAAACTTTACCATCCAAGCTTCAGATATAAAGTTCTGTAAACTTAAAGATTCTCAGTGTCAGTCTGTAAATTTTAGACAGAGTTACATGTTATATCAAGCAAACCACTTATGACATGCGATTCCTAAACATTTCTATGCTTACTGATTATGAAACAAATATGAATACCAAAATATTTCAGTCATTCTCACAGGAAACTATTCTGCTTGGTATCG